AAGATAGTTAAGCTCTTTATTTATAAATATGGATACAGAAAATGACTGGAAAAACAAATTGTAGCTCATTTTGTATTATTGATACTATTTATGTAGATTTAAAATGATTTCAATCAATACCGTGTGTTATATATGTATACAGTAAAAAACCATGAATTAAACTCTAAAATCTTATTATTTCCTCTGGGGGAGGAAGACGGAGGAATAGGAATCAAAGAGAGTCTCAAGACTTTACCTTCTTCAAGTGTTGTTTTGATTTCCATTAGCAGATGAAGCAAATAAAATAGAATGGTAATATATTATACTTTTGATACAATTCTTTGTACTTCCAATCTTTATTTAAAAATAATTCAAACTAAAATATTAAGTAATAACAGAGAATACATGGAAAAAACAACCTGGTATGACAACAGTCCTTTCAAATTGTGAGAGTGTGGTGGTAGGGCCACCACAGAGTTAGTTTTACAGAATGCAATGGTGATATTAACAAAGAATATTGAGAATTATTCATTATAAGGATTAAAGGTAGCTACAAGAATTGAGTATATTTGTCTCAGAAAATTCAAAGAAGTAGGGACAAGAAAGTTACAAATCATAAAAATAAAATTATATAAAAAATTGTTCTAGGGCCTCCCCAGTGGCGCAGCAGTTGAGCGCTGGGTTGCGAAGCTGCCTGCAGCCTCTGCAGCACTGTATCAATCCCTGGCTGCTCCCCGGCCACTGGAGGAGGGTCCCGCATGGCGCGCAGACCTCTCCTGCCGCCCGCTGCTCCCCTCAGCAGTGTGCTTCGGTCCTTCTGCCTGCTCTGCTCCCCGCTCTGGGTCTGGTGAATTCTCTCACTCTCCTGCCCTTTTGCCTGTACCCAGTGCTTGTATAAATAAATAAATCTTAAAAAAAAAAAAATTGGTCTGTCTCCTGCATTTTGTATTTCATAACAGAAGTGACACCTACAATCTTAGGTAACTTACTGATGAATTCAAAGTTCCTGAAAATTCAAAGACCACCTATCTAAAAGCTATTCAACCTGTCAAATTATAAATTAACTTGAAACTCGGCAGATATATACACAAATAAAATAGTAAATTCCTGTAGGGAGTTGCAAATTCTAGTTATGTACAGGCAAATAACTTTTGAGTTAAGTGACTAGGTAAAAATGAACTAATGAATAAACAAAACCGTGTAATCCATTTACATAGTCTATCTTTGATTTTTACAATCTTCATAGAATGGGACCAGAGTATTTCTCAAAGAACAGAAGTACAAGTATTACAATAAATGGTAACTAACACTAGGTGTCAGCACTGGAGCTAAGAGCAAGGGGTTTACATTCCCCAGAACCTCCATAATAGGGAATACAGGCCCTGTGATTGTTTTGTTTTTTAAAAGATTTTATTTTTGTGTAGAAGAAGAGGTGTAGATGCGGTGGGTGAGAGGATTGACCAGAGACAGAGTGAGGAGCAGAATAGGCAGACTGACTGAAATACACTGCTGAGGGGAGCAGTGGGCTAGACAGGTCTGCTGCACCATGTGGGTTAGCTCCCTGGCTGGGGATCAGGCCATAGCAGTGATAGCGCTGAGACTTAACCCAGAGGCCACCAGGAAGACACTCCTACCTCCCAGGGCCGTGTTAAAAGGAAGAAAAGCTATTAGTCAGGTTAACTGCTGCCATTATGCACACAGTGTTGTTACATTATCCAATTTTTCAAAATAAGTTGAAATGCAGATTTTTTTGTTGACTCTACCAACAGTTTTGTTGGTTCAAAGTCTGGTGACAGCCCAAAATGTGAACTATCGTGCACGCAACAGAATGTTACCCACCTGGGAAAAAGATGAGGAAGCGCTTAAAAGACTGACATAGAATGATCTCTATGACACTAAGTTTAAAAAAGGCAAGGCATAAGACTGATAATCCAAATTACCCATCTGGGCTTTAGTGATCAGGTTTTATTTTAGCTTTTCAGAGGCCCTTTCTGCCTTATCTATGAATTTCTAATCGCTGCTACAATTTTGTTGATCTCAGATCAAGCCTTCAGAAAATTAAGAGAGCAGGGTTTCAATTGGAGTCTATTTTCACTCGTGGGGATTAATCAATACAAAATGGCTATTATACACAAAAGGCAGTAAAATACTGGCTCCCAGTTAGCCTCTCTGTTTCATCAACTATAAAATGGAGACAATATACATTACCACAATGCCACTATAATCAAATGAGAAGCTGAAGTAATTGGTACTTATTAGATACTCAAAAGGTGATTGTTATTAGTTTAGATCCATTCTAAATCTCTTACCAGAAATAAAGAATTGTTTTGGTCAATAAAATGGACGTGACTGAAAACATGCTAAGTGGAATTAAGACAATCATGACTTTTTAGTCTACTCTTACTCCTCCCCAAAGAGGCAGGAATGACATCTGGATTAGAATTATTAGCTTATAATAGGGTATTTACATGAATAATAAAACCGTACGTAATTTATTGTCTTGTAGAAGAAAACAATGTTTGAAGACACAAATACCAAAGCATACATATCTATCATCAAATTACATTTATTCAGAAAAGCTTAACTAGTTAGAAAAATCATTGGCTCTAGTATCAGTATTTACTATATTCTCAACTGGAACATCACTATCAAAGTATATTCATAAAACATCTACTAAAAACAGCAATCCACATACAGGTCTACAACTCTATAACCTGCAGCTGAAGAAGACTGAGAAGTATAAACAAATCTTATCTACATCATTAATCCACTCAATGGCTTAGACAGGTCATTTAACTTCTCTGGGCTTGAATTTCCTCAGTGAAGTCAGAAGTCTGGGTTAAATTATCTCTGACAAACTTTCCTAGCCAAAAAGTCCATAATAAAGTGTTCATTAGCCCTCCCTTAATCTAAGACACCTTTCTTTGTAAAGTGATGGAAACATCAGATGACACATCATGTTCATCTTGAGAATGTGATTTCTAAAAGGAATGCCTTAAAAAAAATTCTAACAAAAAGTGGGCTATAAAATTCATGATAGGATCTTACCTGAAACCAAGGTATAAATACTTTTTCAACAACAAGCAGTGACTGTAGAGGGCTAATCAATCAGAACATGGTTCAAGAACTTGGGGTAGTTATTCCCCCGGTTCTTAGCATTCACCCTTTCACAACAGACTCATACTTTCAAACGAGGTCCTCAACAACTGTTCTGTAAAAATGTACCTAACTTGGATGTCAGTTTATTGAGGGGTGGGGGTCTATACTATCAGTCCTGCTTTGCTTACCTTTACCTTGTTGGTTTACTGTCACTTTGCTTTCTACATTATTGAAAATTGTTTTGTCCTATGAGTTTTTTTTTTTTTTAAAGATTTATTTATTTATACAAGCACTGGGTACAGTCAGATGCGCAGGAGGGTGAGAGAATTCACCAGAGCCAGAGTGGGAAACAGAACAGACAGACTGATGAAATACACTGCTGAGGGTTGCAGTGGGCACCACAGGAGAAGTCTGCGCGCCATGTGGGACCCTTGCTGGCAGCCGGGGATCGAACCGGCGCTGCAGAGGCTGTGGGCAGATTCGCAGCCCAGTGCTCAACTGCTGCGCCACCAGGGGAGGCCTGTGTCCTATGAGTTTCTGTACCATTTCCAAAATTTTTTGAATATAAAAAAAACTGTTAATAGTTATTGAGTAACCTAGGATTTGAAGTGCTCATGAAATACGTTTAAGAAAAGTGGGCAACTACTTTTTCTTTTAAACCAGTTCAACTGTATGAAAACACGGGGTGTCTGAATGCTAATCACTTTTCAGTACAAATTAGAATGTATCCTTTTCACAGATTAAGTATTCAGTTGAGTTCTCACATTTTTATTATCACCTTTATAAAACTGCTTGTAGCTCTTCAAGTTTCTTTTATGAGAGTTAGAAGGTTGGTCCAAGTGAATATCAAAACACTCACCGAGCCAATACTAGACACCTCAAGACAGGTAAGAGTCAAATCTCTCCAATTTAATATATTTGGCCAACAGACGATGCTATGAATAACTCAGTCACAATTCCAGAAAACTTTCTAATATTCAAGACATATTAATAACTTATGATGTACAAACTATTTAATTTGAAATGTAGCTTTTTAGGAAGAAAGTAATTCTCAACAGAGTTTGACTACAACTAAAACACAAATATAAGACCTTTGTTACAAGTTCTTGGCACATATTTTATAATACATCTAAATGTTCTGCTGAGTTTCCAGAATGAGAATCTCTAAGAAGGTATTTTTCTTGTTTGAAGAGTTGAGAATTCACTTTGCAGGACATCAGAAAGGCATTTAAAGGACACTGACTATGTCTTTTATAACACTGGCCTCTTCCCAGTGTTATCACAATGCTTTTTGCACACAGATGCTTAATAAATGTTCACTAGAGAGGTTACATGGAATACACACGCACACATCTTGACATAGCATATAAATACTGTACATACACTTACATAGTTTCAAAGACAAGAAAAGATATTTTATTCAATGAGGTAGATAAAAATATCCAAAAGAAAGGCATATTATGAAGTATCTACATATCATGGATTTATAATGTATTTTTGATTTTGTTTAATGTTGAATATTTTCATAACTCTATTCACTTTTCAATGTTTAGCATACTTATTAAAGAGATTTTTGTTTAGCCAAGTAACCACTAAAGATAAAGCAAAATAATTTTTTATTTTTTAAATGACTACTTATATACATCATAAAAATTTTCATGCATTATATAACTTATGAGATGCTACACTTTCACATTTATTAAAAATTAAGATCTCAGGAACTCTAATTCAATTACTTATGGAGAAATAAATGGCTGATCAGAAAATGTCAAATTACTAATTAAGATTTTATCATAATCATTAACAGCATTTAATCATGAATACTATCATTTTACTTTTAAAACTACATATCAGTCTTCAGATTAAAATCTCTTATTGGGGCAATAAAACTTTACTTCAAATTATAATCACATATGGAAGGGAGCTTTTAATTCAAGGTTTCATTATGGTCCATTGTACAAAGATAGATTTTCATGAGGGTTACATGATAGCTAGCAAAGGAAATATGCTAGCAGAGGGTAGTAAATGGCCAACTAAGCATGCACTGAACCTATAGACTACTATAGGATATGGTAAGGCTTTGATTATTGCCAGATTTTCTATAATGTTCAGGTTCTCAAAGATCACTGAATTTTATAATTATCTCCAAACAATTTTCTTCATGGTCATTTAAGCTTTGTCTAAACAGCTGGGTGTGTTGCCAAGCAACAACACCATCTCCTCTGCTTAACTCTGCTTCCAAAATAACTTCAGTGGCACCAGAAAAATCATGATAGGAGTGAAGAGTTTTATCTGTTGGAGAAAAGAAAAAATTAACACTTTGTTTTTGGTAATTTACAGAATGTAAAGTGATCGTTTTGGAGTGAATTTTATGTTTGATTTATAGGTGAAAATCAACCCTTAAAAATACAAATTATTTTTTATGGAGGAAATATGTCCTTTGAAACAAACAAAAGATCTTTCCCTTTCCATTTGTGTTTCACTATAAAAATCCTATGTCCTTCTACTACAATGAGGTTATACAGGTTTTAATTGTTTTTATTGCAACAGTATAAGTAAGTCTTGAGTATGAAAAACTCAAAACTACATCTCTACTAAGTACAATACTTTCCATGATTAATTCTCCAGTCAAATGCTTACCGCCTGTCACTTCCACCTGGGCTGTTTCAGATCGCAATTTCCACTGTATTGTTCCAGTCTGAAAGGTTTGGCTACTTGTTCGAATGGAGATGCTATCCACTTTCAGGCCAACTGACCCACACTCAACCTTCCAGGAAATACAAGCATAAGATGATCCTTCCTTTCGGGCTAAATACACCTGCAAATCAGAAGGGAAAAGGAATTGTCAAAAATACGAGAATAAGAAACACAAAGTCTACTGTCAAAGAGTGTTATGTATAAAAGATTATAAAAAACCTAATTTTTCACCATTGATGAATTTTTCTGATATTTTTTCATTAGCAATTCTATTGTGGATCAAAATTATCTGAATATAAGTGCTTTAGTAAGTACAGTCCTAAAGGACTGCATAGTAGCCAAATTTTGGTACACTATTTCTCTTGAAAATGTAGAAACCTTTAAAATGCAATTATTTCTTAATTTAGTGTACTCTCAGTCTGAATTTTCAGATAAGCTTTCCCAGAGTGAGATGGGTCACATCATTTAAATCAAGGAAATGTTTTAGTCATTGCTAAGTAATGGTTTAAAAGGTAATATTCATGCTTGCTTCACTAAGCAGCATGCTTCCCCATTCTTTCATCAATATCCCGGACCACTTTAAATGTATTTAAGGTATTCAAGTTTACTGGCTTTTTCTAAATCATCCCCTCTTACACTTTCTCCTTGAAGATATTGACATCCATAGGTAATTCTATTCACTCAGTCTCAAAACCTTAATGATCCACCTTTTTAATCAGTTATCACTGGTATCCAAACTCCCATAATAGTCCAGGCATTTCTTTGGCACATCTGGAAAAAAATCTTTTATACCACACTTACCACTGTAGTCATGATTTTACACTTAACTTTCTATAGTTGCCTAATTGATGTTTTTAAAATCCTACTTCCTTCATATAATTTGCTTAGGCTAGAATGTACAACAAATGTCTTGTTCTTGCTTTAAATCCAAATTCTTTTGCTTTCATGGTCCTCCAGAATTTCATGCCACATTGAACTGGTGACATGTCCCTATTCCAAATACAACTTTTATTTCAGGTGTGCTTGTATGATGTAGCTTACCGAATCTCTAACTCGCTAGTGGTATAGGTTCTGGATACACGGGGGGGGGGGGTTTATTGAATGGTATTTATTAAATATTAAAAATGTACATACACACATATTCTTTTAGAAACATCTACTTTGGAAAATAGTTGAAAGCACCCATAAAAAATACATCTGAATCAGAAATGTTCTATACCATGTTCTATTCTAATATTTAGTCATTAAGTAAAATGACTGTTAGCATTCTATTGATACTCTTTTTGGCAACTTAAAGCTACTTTTTTCCTACTAGGTTAAACATGCCAGTAAATTTAAAGGTTTTAGAATCAGTGAGTTAGAAATTATAAAACAATCCCTCTTCAAGGGTGGTAAAATATGATAGGCTTACATCAGGTTAACATCAATTTCTAGCTCTTCCCAGAACTGTCTTAATTATCCTATGTGGATCTGGGTCACAGAAGGCTTATAACAGTTGTTGAACATGTCTGAAAAAGACTTCTATTTTTTAGTTGTAAAGGCATCAACTTTGAAAACTCAAAAAAGTTAAAGGATAAATGAAATTCACTGAATTCTCAAATGCTACATCATCCAAAGTTATTATAAGCAAATAAAAGTCCTCTTACGCTAAAGAAACAGTATATGGAGATAAAACAGACTACCTTAAAAATTCATGTGATCTTTTTTACTCAATATATTCTCTGTGTAGCATTTTAACCAATCCCCCACCACCAGTGACCCACCTTTGTCCATTTTTGGTTTCTTTAAGAACTTAGAGGTGAACACAACCTGTGGGTGAGAACAAGACCAGTGTGCCTGTGTTTTAAGGTCTAAGTCATACACCTCACAGTGAGTTATACAAATGAAAATTGTCTTTTGTGTTGTGGCTTTTTTATTTCATATACTCCAGAAGATCTTCACTTAAAGATCTTCTGATTACTACTACAGGCTAGGTTAGTGTATTTGCTGCTATGGTTTCCTGAAGGTTTGGTTTATTCTGCACTGTTTGAAGTTGTTGTTTAACATGTTCTTAAAATTATTTTCCTGTATAGGCTGCTAAGATTAAGTCTAATTAAGTTCACCATACAGCAGCTACTCTGCAGTCAGTCATTCCTACAGATATCCAGCAGGGCAGTTGCATTTCAAGAGATTTTAATTCAATACTGGTAAATTGGTATTGCTCATGAATCTCATTTTTTGTTATTCTTTTTATCATCAAAATCAAACATGAATCAATGTCAGTTCCCACTATACTTAAATTTTTTTGTACTATGTTTATGATTTATTCCATTTGTAGCCTCTGGAATTATCTCTGCATTAGGCCCTTTGGAAAGGACCAGGTCCTTTTCCTTGCTTGAATGCTTTCATGTTGCCTATTATATAATTGCAAGATAATCAAAGTCCCTGGGACCTAACAACTTTTTCTCTTTAGTTTTACTTCCCACTATTCTCCTCCATATTCCCTACTACATTACTCTTTCCTGAACATAACAGCTGTTTCTCACATCTCTGCTTTTGTATGTACTATTTCTCATGTCTCAGATACCCCGCCCCTTTCATATTCTGTTCCCTCTAAGAAACTCCCATTGCCTCCTCTAAAATCCTGTTCAGAGATCCCTTCTTCCACCCGGCCCTCTCTGACTCTTAAGAAGGGACAGTGTTTTCATTCTCTCTTCTTTCCCCTTGTATGATGTACAGACTCATTTACCTCAGTTGGTCCATGTGTCTTTCTCTAATACTAGTACTTTCTCTATGCTCACCTTGAGATTTTCCTCTTAATTTCACCATTAAAACTGAATTTTCCACCTGAATCAGTATTTTAATTCTCTAGTAGCCTGTCTTCAATTACGGATTCATGACTCCACTAAATCATAGAAGCCTATTTCCCACCACACCTTCCTCAGTAATCGCCTATCTGGAATTGCCTATCTGCCAACACAATGTCTGACAAGGTGCATGTTTGTTGAATGAGTAAATGAACCAATTCTTGACATATCATGTGTGAAAAATTACCAAAATAATTCTAGTGACAAAGAGAATGATAAAACTGCTCAAAAATGAAAAGCAGCTAAGAACATATAGGGATAGTCAAAGGACAAAATCTGAATGAAAACAAGAGTATCTAAGGGGCTCTACATAGCTCTGGGGTAGTACATAATTTATGCCACATACACTCAATCATTTTTTCTTACACTCACTAATCTTGATTAAACGTTTATTATATATCAGGACCTCCCCGGTGGCGCAGCGGGTTGAGCACAGCGCTGTGAAGCTGTCCAAGCTTCTGCAGCATGGGTTCGATTCCCGGCCAGCCAGGGAGATTCCCACATGGTGCGGTAGACCTCTCCTGTCGTGCCTGCTGCTCCCCTCAGCAGTGTTTTTGGTCCATCTGCCTGTTCTGCTCCCCACTCTGTCTCTGGTGAATCTTCTCACCCTCCCGCACCTCTGGCCTGTACCCCAGCTCTTGTATAAATAAAAAATAAATCTTTAAAAAAAAAGTTTATTATATATCAGGCACAAACACACATATATAGTGAGTATACTATATATACACACACACACTGTGAGTACAAAAGTAAGTATACCATGAAGGCTATAAAAGGACTGGGGTAGATGCAGGGAGGTTAGTTTAGGAAGTTATTAATATCACTTTTATCAAATGATGTCTTCTAAGAAGTATTCTAATTTAGTTTTGTACATTCCTGATTCCAGACAGGCAATTACTGAGGAAGGTGTGGTGGGAAATAGGCTTCTATGACTTAGTGGAGTCATGAATCCCTAATTGAAGACAGGCTACTAAAGAATTAAAATACTGATTCAGGTGGAAAATTCACTTTTAATGGCAATATATTAGTTATGCATAATACAATGGTATAGTTTGAGAATCCAGCATCTTTTTTCACTTGGTATAGATATTTTAACTAGATCACATTTATTAAACTTTTAAAAATTGATGCCTTCTATGAAAGTATATCAAGGTAGAAATTTTACTTAAGTAGGGGCTTGTTTTATATCTAATGGCCTTTGCATTTACAATATTTAAATCTTTCCCATACAATATATCATCTCGGGCCACAACATTCTATGTAGAGATCTCAAAATACGCCATGTACTACATGCTATTTCCTTGCTGTCCCCTTGCCTTATGAACACCTACTCATCCTTCAGCGTCCAGCTCAAATGTCGTCTGCTCGGTGGAGCTTTGCCCACCTCCCACAGTCAGAGCTAATTACTCCCTCCTTGGTGTTTCCATAGTAATATGTTGATGTCCTTATTATAGCACACCACAACGTGGCTAAGATGACTATTTATGCTGTTAAGATTGTGAGGCTAGAAACTGTATCTTCATCTTTTTATACATGTTGCTGAGAACAATGCCTGGCACAATAAGCATTCAGTAAGTGTCTGTTGGTCAACAGATGTGTGAATAAGACAAAGGAAAAACATGAGCAGACCTGCTTTGCAGCACATCATTACTTTCTTCATTAATGCTGCTGGTTATGAAGAAAGGCTCGCTTTTCCTTCAGTTCAAGCACATACAGACTAGTCCTCAGATGAATGACGTGCCTTCTATCCCACTTTCCATTCAGAGGAATATTTAGGCTAAAGATAGTCTTTCAGAAGCTGTTCATTCTCTCTCATCAACTATGTAATCACAGAGATACACATCCTGACATTTATATTTTTATCTTATTTTGTTCTTTAATTTCCTCTGTTAATTAAAGAATAAACTTTCTAAATCTTCAATTTTAATAATTCTAAAGCACTCTTGGTATACTGCAAAAAAGATCACAAAGTAAGTTTTAGAACACAAACATGATTAGAAAGAAAAAAGCAGTGAGCTTATTTCTGTATGTCTTCTGTACTCTAATGCCTACTAAACTGATAGTGTACAGTTGATGCTCATAAACACAAGCAGCTGTTAATTTGTGGCTCACTTTTCAAATCTAATTTATCTTAAAAATGAACAACTTCCCTTCTCACTCAAACATCTTGGCAAGTTGACTTTAAAAGCTCCCAGGGCTTCCTCGCCCCTCCCTGGCCTGGTTCCATCGGCCTGGAAGTCCCACTATATTTCTGTTCCTTTTCTCCTCAATAAATTTTTTCTTTCTCTAAACAAAATAACAAACAAAAAAAAGCTTCCTACTCATATGAAATTTTATCAATAATAATGGTTAGATCTATTGAGGTCATATGAGTACCTGTGAGTTTACTTTTGGTGTGTATCTAAAGGCAATTTAAAAGTAAAGCCTCTTATTACAGATAACTTGTAACTATAATGTACAAGTTGGTATAAATGAACAACTATAGTCCTTGCATCTGTTTCTTTCCTTATTTTTAAGGCTACAGAGAGAAGAAATCACCAAGAGTGCTGTTCAATCATCTATGTTCTTATGAAATGAAAGCATGTTGGATGATTAGCTTTTAGGACTTTGAACTAAACTATTAGACCCACTAGTAATCAGTCAAAACATATTTGTGAAAGAATAACAGTATTCTTCATACATTCATGCAAAAACTAGTAACATGGGTTAGTCATAGTCTTGATTATTTCTCCTCAGGAAAGAATAAATATAGTTTTTCTGATGAAAATGGATGGACATTTCCTTAATACAAATGAACAAATTTTATATGAACTTCTGATTAGACGCTTAGGTCAGGATTATTTCTTGTTTAAAGATTACTAAAAGTAACACCAGTTTTTATATTATATATAACTGATAAATGAAGCAGATCTATATTTGTTTCAAAAATGACTAAAGTTTCATGCATTAAATTACCATTTTCCAGTCTGTTTCAACTTTTCTGAATATGGATTCCATTTTCCATACACCATTCTCCCATCCAGAAATGGTTTCACTATTATTTGAAACTCGGACATAATGATCTTTCACAATGTTGTAACAAAGGTGAAGCTTTTTAGAAATCTTCTCATTTTCAGAAGGGATGAAGAGGGATTCTTTTCTCTTAAAAAAGAAAGCAGAATTAGTTTTTTAGCATAATGGAATACATGTGTGTGTGCGTGTGCGCATGTGTGTGTGTGTGTGTATATATATGGGGGGGGGAGAGAGGGAGAGAGGAACTACTATGTCTACTGGTGATCTCTTCAACTTGAAAAGGAAAAACTGGTGTCAATGGAAAATAAGATATATGTTAAATAGCATCAGCACACTGCTTGAATAGTGCCAAACATCAGACAGAATATAAAAAAGAATTATATCTCTGATTTTTTTGTTGAACCTGAATTCATTTATTTTTCTTAATTCTACCACCACTTCCTAATTGTATTATTACAATCCTCTCCTAAAGGTGACTCCCCACTTTCAACTCTTAACACCTCTCCTATCCATGTTCCACATAATTAAAGTGATTTTTTTAATGTAAATTGGGATAAACCACCTTCTTGCTTACCTCATTTCATCGATTTCCTTCAGTACTTAAACTCTAAACCTAAATTGATTACATAATCAAGGCTAATAGTACCAATTATGAGCTTTCCCTTGCTTACTTCTCCAACCAGATCTCAAACTATTCCTCCCCTTTCTCTCTCTTTTCACTATTTACTTTTCCTTTCTTCAAAAAGGCCCAGCTCATTTCTGCCTCAGGACCTTGGCACAGCTATTCCCTTTGTCTGGAATGCTTTTCTTTCTATTCTCCACATGCTTAATTCTGTCTAATCCTTCAGGACGCTACCAAAAGTCATTTTATCAGAATGTCCTTTCCAGACCCTCTAAGTTTAAGAGAGTTCCTGTGATATATATGCTAAGATAATCTTCGACATGTGAAATCATCACAAAAGTTCACGTTTTACCTTAAAATTCCAGATAAATTTTACAATCCCATCCAAATTAAATACATTTGTTTTAATGTAAAACAGTCCCCTGAAATCACTGAGTGAATCTAAAGCTTGAGAAAGATATTTCAATCCTGTGTCTTTATGGGCCATAGCACAGTGGCTCCTCTCCCTTAGGTTACAGAATAGTAGCATTTTGAGTCAGATAATTCTCTAAAGTAGAGGGCTGTCCTGTGAACTGTAGGTTGTTCAGTGGCATCCCAGAGCTCTACCCACTAATGCCAGGGGGATCCTCCCTCCTAGTATGACAACCAAAATGTCTTTAGTCTTGCCAGATGTTCCCCTAAGGCAAAAATAATCCACTGTTGAGAACACTGCTCTAGTCTGTGTCAACATTCTGCTACAGAACTTACTAATCAGTCACGATAGTGTGCAATGCATATTTTGTTAAGCTAAATTGAGCACCAGCTATTAAAGATTATAAAAACTAAATGTACAAAAATCAATAAGCAGAAAACAAAACATCTTAGAGATAGAGACACTGTCAGAATTTTAAAATAATAACATTACATGTAAAACAAAAAGATAATTCCCTAGTAAAACCTACAACCATTACTAACCAAAATATAAGGTTTTAAAAAAAGCAGTTTAATATTTCTAGAAATTGATTATGTAATTATGAATTAGTATACCACACTTCAAAACAACATGTAACAACACTTTCCAATTCTTCTCTTCTCTGCCAAAGATGTTTCAGAGTAATGACATAAACAAAATGGAAATAAAATTTAGAAGCAGCATTATCCACTATTTTTTACAGGATAAGCAATTACCAAGAGAAAAGAAAAATAAGTACATTACTGAACATATCATGCATTCAACCAAGCAAAGCCAATGTGGAATAACAGCATCAATATTTCATAAAATTTTTAGATAATTAACATTGAGGGCTTCCCTGGTGGCACAAGGTGTTGAGCACAGCGCTGTGAAGCTGTCCACAGCCTTTGCAGCACGAGTTCAATCCCTGGCCAAGGAGCTACCCACATGGCAAAGCAGACCTCTCCTGATTCTCCCCTGCTCCCCTCAGCAGTGTACTTCAGTTGATCTGCCTGTTCTATTCCCCACTCTGTCTCTGGTGGATCCTCTCACCTCCCACACCTCTGGCCTGTACCCCAGTTCTTGAAATCATAAATAAATAAATCTTAAAAAAAAAAACCCTAAAAAAAATTAACATTGACTTACAGCATCATGAAATCTTTTAAATCTAAGATTAAGATAAATTTTTCTTTCTGGAACTCTATGACCAATATTTCCTTCTTTTCCCAATTGATTTCAAGGTATAGTTACTTAATGTTTTAGGGCTGATACTCTTTAATCTATTTTTTTAAAAGATTTATTTATTTATTTATACAAGCACTAGGTATAGTCAGAAGCGCAGGAGGGTGAGAGAATTCACCAGAGCCAGAGCGGAGAGCAGAACAGGCAGACTGACAAAGTACACTGCTGAGGGGAGCAGCGGGCGCAGCAGGAGAGGTCTACAGGCCATGTGGGACCCTCATCTGCGGCCGGGGATCGAACCGGCGCTGCAGAGGCTGCGAGCAGCTTCGCAGCCCAGCGCTCAACTTCTGCACCACCGGGGAGGCCCTCTTTAATCTATTTTTAAAAACATATGATTTTAAAATGGTTAAAATGATTTTTAAATTCATTGCCCTAACATGGCTTCCAGTAATTCAGAAATTAAAAATTTCAAAAGGGAAAACAATCTGGACATATGACCTAATTGCTATTTTAAAAATATAATCAACTTATATTCCATTCAAGAGGAAGCATGCCCATCTATAAGAAGGGGAAAAAAAAATTGAACAACTAAATAATAATGATGTTTTAAATTGGGCACAGCTGTGAATTAAATTAGCTCTTTTAAATGTCTACATTTAGATTTACACTTGTAAGTTGCTCTGCATCAGCAGTGATTTGGATTATTTGTTGAATTTAGATCTTGTAATTCTATGTGGTTAAACCAATACTTCTAACTGCCTGCTAAAGAGGATAAGATAATTAAAAAGGAAACAAGTTTACTAGGAATAATTCACCCCTTTTTGACATATGCTTTTATTAAAGAAATTAATATGCAGCAATGGTAAATTTAGAAAATAGAAAAAGCAGATATAAAACTTTATCTTGCTTGCAATTATTTGACATCAGTCCTGGGAGGGACTATTCTCCTTTCAAACATTTTTCATTACATATCTTCTTAGGACATTTATATTAAATACTTACTAGAGGGTCACTTTTAAGCTCCTTAAGGGCAAGGGACAATCTACTGTACTTTCTTAATGTCCATTGGAGCACAGTGCCTAAGTAGACATTATATTTCCATTGTTCATTATTTAATTTTGGGCAATTAATCAAGTGATAGTATCTTAAAATAATTAGTAATATAATATTAACAGTACAATAATAACAATCACACCAATAATAATTTCTGTTGCATAAATATATAACAAAACCCAAACACTTTCATCAGCTGTATTCTTCTCACTATAATTCTTAAAGTTTTCACATGGTAAAAAAGAGGTAAAAATTGGCTCTTTGAAAATACTATTGATACAGTGATGGTTCATGGGTGATATGGTAGTGGGAGAACTATGGAGACTACAGTGATGTAAGAAAAAAAATTAAATTAATAAAAAAAGGAGGGCCTCCCTGGTGGCAAAGTGGGTTGAGCGCTGCACTGTGAAGCTTCTGCAGCCTCTGCAGCGCGGGTTCAATTCCCGGCTGGCCAGGAAGACACCCACATGGTGTGGTAGACCTCTCCTGTCTCGCCCACTGCTCCCCCCAGCAGTGTCTTAGGTCCATCTGCCTGTTCTGCTCCCTGCTCTCTCTGGTGAATTCTCTCACCCTCCCGCACCTCTGACCTGTACCCCAGTTCTTACATAAATAAATAAATCTTTAAAAAAATAAATAAAAATAAAAAAATGAAAAAATATATTATTTGGAAAGACTTGAACAAATACTTCAAAAAAAGAAATTAAAAAATTTAAAGAACAGAAGTTTAACTCCATTAGTCATCACCAAAATGCAAAATTAAAATCACAATGTATTAATACTTCATACAACAGAATTACTAAAATGAAAAACACATATGATTGTAGGCAAAGATATAGGAAAATCTCATACAGCTGCTAAGAGTGTGAACTGGCACAACCACTTAAACTGGCAGTATCTATTGAAGCTGAACATATACATACCTTATTACCTAGCTTAGGCTGAAAATGAGCCTAACTACCCACTGAAATGCATAAATAAATATCCACTGACAACATGTATATGACTGTTCACAAGCAGCACTATTTTGAGTAGCCAAAGCAGTAAAAACAATCCGGATACTGATTAATCTATGATGTTAGGAACCATAACGATTACTCTTGGGGTGGAAGGCAATGATTGAAAAGGAATGCATGGTTGCTGCCTGGGGTTCTGATGGTGTATTACTTATTCTGGTTAGTGATTTATATCAGTACTCAATTTGTGAAAATTTGTTAAAGTTATATACACTCTACATTTTTCTTATTTACACTGTACTAAAAATTTATGAAAGATTGAAAAAATTCTATTTTAAAATAATTTAATTCACAATTACACTATGTCAATTTTTGGTTCTCTTCCAATGTTTACATTTTTAATAATTACTCAGAAACATTAATTGAAAGGTCACGGCCAAGGCATTTTTTGTAAGTAAAGAGTGTAGTGGAAGCAGGAAGATGATATCATGCTATAATGAATTAAATACCTCTAGACCCATTTCACCTCGGGCTACTCTCCAAGCCACTGACCCAGATATTCTTCCACCAAGTTCTCCAGGTTTAGGGGTTTTGGGAGATATAAATTCAACAAGTTCCACAATTATCCTCTGAAGTAGTTCTTTTCTTCTGTTTTCTGATAAAGATACTTGCCTCTGTAATTCATATATTTAAAAAGTCAGATTAGGGAAATATAGAGATACATCTTGTAAGAAAGAATATATTAAAACATTTGTATTTTAAGGGAATCCTGGAAGAAGTAAGCAACTTTATTTGCATGCACACAATTGTTTGGAAAATCAACTCTCCATGACTTTTACCATCCTAGAATTCAAATGGAAGTAGCAACTTGTGTTCCTGACTATGATAGACTAGCTTACGTCAGATCAATTGTCCTGCTGACAAAGCTATAAAAACAGGGAAACACACACACACACACACACCTCCCCCCCCCACCTGAATGCAACAGTTACTAAGGTAGTCAAGATCTGAAGAAGCTAAGACCCCATGGGAAGAAATGAATTGAGGTAAACCAAGCACACCACATCTCTGTTCCCTTCTCTCAATGAGTGAAGTGACATACGGAGAAGAGGCTAAGGAGCCAAGCACAAAATTGTGGCTAAAGCACTAAAAAACAAAGCTACATTTTTAGTGGGAATATATAAACTAGAGTTTAGCTTTTTCAAAGTAAGGGCCTCCCGATCTGCAGTTTAGCATCTCTAAAGCAAATGCTTTTTTTTTTTTTTTAGGAAAAAGAGGCCCACATATGTAATAGGAAATATGCTCAATATTAACAAAGGGGTAAAAATGAAAACTGAACTTTCCAACTTATTCTTCTCGGAAATTGTGACAGTTTCCTGTGCCTTGTTTCAGAAACGTCCATACTTGGATATGTGTGCACTTGTGTATAAATAATATTCAAAACACAAAAATTTTGATACTCTGAGAAAAATAAAACAACATACTTTTTATGTCAAATATTGCATATGTAGAAATTCTGTTTCACTGAACTCTGAGACAAGACATAATTTAATGGGAAAAAAAACCATGATATTTAAAATGAATCATTAACATTTTCAAGGAGTAAAAAGACATTTAACGTATTAAAATATTTTGTTTCCAAAATAATACTACTACCTTAGCATTATTAACACATTAACCACTTATTAGCATTATTAGCACATTAACCAATTAATGTCAATGGTTTAAAAAATTGGCTATTCTTGATTATATAAAAAATTTCCAATGTGCTCTTAAAAATGACCAATACACATCACATACCTGTTTATTAAGTCCATTAATAGTTTCTCGAAGTAACTCTTCTTTAACTTCAGTTCTTCTGGAAATTACCTCTTCATGTTTACAAGAATATCTCCAAGTGACATCAACCACCTCAAATTACAGAGTATAAGTATTTAACAGGATTACAACTACCAATTTGCTAACTACCTAGAATGTATGCAACTTTTAAAATGCTACCCTTGGAAATTTTAAATCTTGTGTAAAAAACTTGAAAATACTTTTTATTCATTTTCTAACAGGTACACTTCCAAGAGAGATAAAATTTTCAGAACATTTAGCTTTTGAAAACTTATCTACAAAGTAAATTTCATAAAATTTAAAAAATCCATTTTCCATTTTGACTGTATTAAATTTATATTATAGAACTGATTTCTGACAAAGGTGCAAAGTCAATTCATGGGAAAAGGATGTTTTCAATAAATTGTGCTATTTGAACTCTTCAAAATAAGACACTACTATCTATCTATTAAAAGGGCTAAAATTAAAATGTCAGGTCATATATGTTAGCAAGGATACAGAGCAACTGGGTCCTCTCAAATACTGCTGGTAAGAATGTCACAATCATTTTGGAAAACAGTTTAGCTGTTTCTCAAGAAGTGAAACATACCCCCACCATTTGATTCAACTACTTCACTTCTAGACATTTACCAAGGAGAAAAGAAAGCATATGTCATATAAAGATTTGTGCCTGAATGTTTACAGCAGTTTACGTGAAATAGTAAGAAAAATAAAGTAGCCAAATGTCCATCAATAGCTGAATGGAGAAATAAATTATGATACATTCCTATAATGAAATACCACTTAGCAATAAAAAGAAAAAACTACTGATACATGAAAATACATAAATGCATCTTGAAATAACTATGCTGAGAAAAAGAAACCAAATCCACCTCTCAACCAAAAAAAGTATATGTTGTATGATTCCATTTATATAACACTCTGGCAATGCAGATTTATCTATAGTGACAGAAAGCAGATCCATGTTGCCTGGAAAGGGGCAAGAAGGAAGAACAAAGGGACATAAGGAAACTTCCAAGGATAATTATTTTGTTCACTATCTTAATTGTGAAGTTGATTTTGTAGGTGTATATACAAATGACAAGATTTATTATACACTTTAAAAATCTGCTGTTTATTTTGTATCAATAATTTTTTAAGAAAAAATATTTTTATTATTATTGAAAGGTTTATTCTTATTTATATATAAGAACTGGGGTATATACCAGAGGTGCAGGAGGGAGAGTAGATTCACCAGAGACAAAGTGAGGAGCAGAACAGGCGGATCTACTGAAATACACTGCTAAGGGGAGCAGTGGGTGAGACAGGAGAAGTCGCCTGCACCATATGTGGGTTAGACGGGGATCAAACTCAGGCCATAGCGGTGATAGTGCTGAGACTTAACTTTGAGGGCACCTGGGAGGCCCTATTATATTTTGGTTTTAGGAAAAAAATTTCTCATATGCCTTACCTCATCTTTAGAAAATGCTATGACATAGGAAAGCTTCTTTCCCCACCCTATTTCATAAAGGAGTGGTTTGTCACAAACATCTTCACACGCATCACAGTGCAGCCACCGCTGCTGAGAAGGAGAATAGACTTCTGTCCAGACATGGTCTACCCATGTGAGAAATGAGAAAGCAAGGGAAAAAAGAAATATAAGTTTATAAAACCAGAATGACTTCCAAGAATCAGACAGGATCATAAAAAAATGAATTACATAATAATTTCTAATATTCTAAGTTTTAAAACCAAGAATTTTGTGGCATGAGACGCTACACACTTGTACTAATTTCACTATCTCTTTGAAGTACTTGAATTTGGAACATCTCCTTTAATGTAGTTGGTTTTAGGTTGAATCAAAAATAATGTGAACTGTAACTCTAAAACAATAAACACTGAACAACAAAATAAAAAATATAGGGCTCAGTTTGCTAATGAGGAGTTAATGTCACTTTCAAAACTTCAATTTCTCAATCAAATTGACAGAAGGCCTGACAGAGGATCCCTGGTTACTGATGTTCTATATCTGATTGTAAGAGAAAAGTAACCACTAAGTGAGGATTTCAATTTATTCTAAAGAAGCAGCAGAAACAAAATTACTATGTATGATTCCATTTATATTAAACTCTGGAAATGCAGATTTATCTATAGTGACAGAAAGCAGATCCATGGTGCCATGGCTCATGAATCATTTCTGAATAAGGACAATATGTATTTCACATGACTTTTATTATTTTTGTATACTGAAATTTAAGATTATTAAACCTTTCATACAAATTGCTGCAAAAAACCAAACTGTCTATATTAATTACTTTTTTTCACATCACTGTTCATTTTTAAACAATATTTGCTTCCCCCCACCCCCTCAGGTGTAGTCCCCAAAGAGTTTCCTTCACCAATGCACCCGTGCACCATCACCTCAGTCCCCTGAGCTCCTCCCTTCCTCTCTCTGATCCCTCTCCCTCCTCCTCCCCTGCGGGATGTCTCTGATTTATATTTGTCCATTTTTGCTTTATTGTGTTTTGTACTGTTATTATTAAAAAAAAAAAATTTCTATAGCACATTACTACACCTGTTCTTATCCATATAGAAAAAAATTACTAAAAAATGACATGGTAAAACTATTAAAAGAGGGCCTCCCTGGTGGTGCAGCGGTTGAGCGCTGGGTTGCAAAGCTGCCCGCAGCCTCTGCAGCACCGGTTCGATCCCCAGCTGCTCCCCGGCCACCGGAGGAGGGTCCCACATGGTGTTCAGACCTCTCCTGCCGCCCACTACTCCCCTCAGCAGTGTACTTCGGTCCTCTGCCTGCTCTGCTCCCCGCTCTGGCTCTGGTGAATTCTCTCACCCTCCTGCGCTTCTGACTGTACCCAGTGCTTGTATAAATAAATAAATAAATAAATAAATAAATAAATAAATCTTAAAAAAAAAAAAAACCAAAAAACACAAACTGTTAAAAGAATGTCTATAGTGCAACAGGGAAAATTTTAGCTTTATTACAAAAATCTTGTGATCCCTACAAAAAACCTGTGAGGTACTACTGTTACCTCAAAGGAGGCAAATGGAAGACCAGATTGAAAGGCTAGAGAGTCCAGAGAGTAAACCCAAATCTTTAACTTTACAAAGCCTTTGTATCTGTTTATACCATGTTCTGTACCTGTACAATCCCAAACATAGCGAGCTTCAAACCCTAAGGCTCGGCAGCACAGTGTAAAACAATTGGCCCACTCGCCGCATCGTCCACACCTTGTTTCCAGAAGTTTCTCAGGGTGATTATACCTGGTTTAAAATAATACCAAAAAAGGCTTTGATTTGTTATGGAAATCAAGAATTTTAAAGAATTCATATTACTTCTGTGCTAAACAGTAACAGTGTATTTCATATTCTTGAAATAATGAAACAAAGTGCTTAGAATACGTGAGGTTATTTGCCAAAATCTTTGGTGAAAAATGAATAAAATGTTATAGCTTTTAGGCAGTTTACAGTCCTGAGAGAAAAGGGATTAATACAAATAAATTCAATACATGATAGAATGTGATACAAACCACACAATAGATCAGAGTTAGTATTATAGGACAGCAGTTGTACGAGAGGTTATATTTGAATTGGGATTTGAAGGACAGACAGGATTTGGATAGGCCAAGATTCTTTAGGAAATCTGCTTTAAGTGCTTAGTATTACTCTAACAAGTGGTGTAAGTACTTCATTGCATTTAAAAGGTAAACAACTTGAATAAACTATTCAATAAAGATTTTAAAGCTTACTGGAATATAAAATTTTACATAATTTTACTTAAAATATTTTTTTCTAATGATCATTTGAAACTTTATTCTTCTGAACTACTTATTACCTATTAATTTGAAATTGTGTTTTGAAAGAGGTTTGTAATGTTACTCCAATTATAAAATTATCATAAAACTGGAGAACATCAAATTTTGCATACTGTATTGAGAAAGATTTTGAGTGGCTAAAACAGAAAAAGTATCACAGCAGAATTTGGGAGGAAAGAAAACAGTTGCATAAATGAACTAGCTATGCAATGAAAAGTTTGTTTGCAGATGCTGTTATTTAAGCTAAGTTAAATATATGTGTAATTTAAGTAGTTATTTTAAAAAGTTAATTTATAGTATTAAGTATTAATAGCAGAATTAGAGCATCCTATGTCTCCATCTTCTATAAACTTGTGCCAAAATGAATGACCAACTTAGTCTCTAATTAATAATGGTCATCATCCCAACCCTGCATAGTTAACAGGAAAACAAATGATTGGAAAGGAAAACATTCTGTATAGTATCTTTGTTAGCTTGTGCATTTCTACACTGGATTATCAGTTTACGTCCAACAATCTAGAAAGAATTTGAAGAGTGATTTAGTTAACATATTTTATCTGAAATTTTTGCAATATGCCTGTCCAAATGTATGCTGAATGAAGAAATACCTTGGACTAATTTTAGATACTTACTGGATATTGGATTGTTTTTCCTTACAGTCTGTAGATTATAGTACTGGTTCCTAGTTAGGACAGAACTGAGTCCCTAAGCACCCCAAAATATTTCAAAAAGCTGGCATCTTTTCTTGCCTGATGATACAATCAAACTTCACAAGCATTGTCAATTAAGAAAATTTGATAAGAGGTTCATAAATTAGAGGATGAAAAAAGTTAAAAAAGTTCAAATTTCAGGGCCTCGCAGGTGGCGCAGTGGTTGAACACTGGGTTGCGAAGCTGCCTGCAGCCTCTGCGGCGCTGGTTCAATCCCCGGCTGCTCCCCAGCCACTGGAGGAGGGTCCCGCATGGCGCGCAGACCTCTCCTGCCGCCCACTGCTCCCCTCAGCAGTGTATTTTGGTCCTTCTGCCTGCTCTGTTCCCAGCTCTGACTCTGGTGAATTCTCTCACTCTCTCCCGCTTCTGACTGTACCCAGTGCTTGTATAAATAAATAAAAATAAAATAAATTAATCTTAAAAAAAATTTTAAAAAAAGTTCAAATTTCATTGGTTTAAAATCTAGAAATATGAGAGTAGGCTGGGTTGGGCAGGAGAGACACCTAATTAAAACAAACATTCCGTTAAACAGAAATAATATGATGTTATAATACTATAGTTTACCTTCCGTATTACCACCTGATGATTACTTTAAGAAAAGCAATGTGTTTAGTATAATAATTAGTACTATTACTGTTAGCATTTTTATTACTATTGTTATTATTAAAGTATCAGAAAGTTAAACTTTATATATTAAAAGAATATAAAATGTATAGCACTAAATGTGCTAGGACATTAAATGTGCTAGAAAAATATATTTCTAATAATTATGAGGAAACAGGTCATTAAATAAAATTCTCTTCTGTTATATTAAGAGATTAGTTTGACTTTATTGTTCAGTGAATACCCACCTTGGGAATCGATTGCTGAACTGGCATTTATCACAGTAATGATCTTCTACTCTGTTTGCACCCCACTTTAGCTCATCATCATTTGGGAATAATGATTCCCCTCTAGACTTAGTTTGGCCACCACATTTGCTGCATAAAATATCATTCACCCAGTGAAAAAATTCTTCCTTAAACCAGTGTAAAAGCTCCAGCAAAAGAAAATCCTCATCATTTAAATTTGTACCTGAGAAGTTAAAATAGAACCAAGTTACAACCTCAAACACAAAAACTAATATCCACACATATTTTATTCTCAAATATGAAGCTGAAATACATAAATACATGATGATCTAAAGATTTTCACAAATAAGATTTAAGAGAAAATTATCATTATATTGTGAAGTAGGTTGAAATACAATGGCATAACACATTGTGCATCTAGAACAGTAGAATGTTTATAATTTTGTATCCTCTAATTGATACTACACATTAACAAGTGAGCTGAAAATAACAATCTCTTATGGAACTTTGATCAGTTTGAAGCACATGGGAAGAAAGTAATATAATTAATATATTAACAGTTTAAAATGGCTGTAGTAAATTTTTTATCACGTGTATATACACAGATAAATTTGAAGCAATCACAAAAATCACAAGCAGAAATCAGAATTTCACACACTTTAAAAAAGCACCCTATTGGGCCTCCCCTGGAGGCGCGGCGGTTGAATGCTGGTCTGCAAAGCTGCCCGCAGCCTCTGCAGCACTGGTTCGATACCCAGCTGCCAGCGAGGGTCCCACATGGTGCACAGACCTCTCCTGCCACGCCCGCTGCTCCCCTCAGCAGTGTATTTCATCACTCTGCCTGTTCTGTTCCCTGCTCTGGCTCTGGTGAATCCTCTCACCCTCCCGCGATTCTGACTATACCCAGTGCTTATATAAATAAATAAGTAAATAAATAAATAAATCTAAAAAAAAAAAAAAAAGTACCCTATTAGCTTTTCTCATCAGTGCTTCAACTGTGCCCTAAAATTTTAATTATAATATAAATTATAATGCATTATTATAAATTATAATATGTACCTTATACTACTTTATATGTAATATATATTATATATTATAGTTTATAAAATTTAAATTTTACATTTTACTCTACATATCTACAATAAAAAATATATATAAATTATATAATGTGTAATCTATATTGTAATAAATTACAATGCAGTGTACAACATAATTTCACCACAAAACATAAAAACACAACCATGTCTTCACTGAATATGTAACAAACCTAGGAAGTAAGTATGACATGCAGTATTATAAGCACTTTATTATCTTGACCTAGTTAGGACCATGGTCATCTATGAAAAGAAGGGAAGGAGAGAGAATAAAATCTGGGAGACATATATAGGGGCTTTCAGATCTATCTTTAATATTTAATAATTAAAAAGTGGTAAGAAAACATATACAAAGGAAATACATGGCATAATGTTTATATCAAAGTTTGATGCTGGTCACAGACATTAGATATATTCTACTCTAGTTCTCATGTTTGAAGAAAAAAAGTGCAGAGAATATAAAAAGACCAAAAGTTCCTAAATGAGAAAACTCAATATTCTGAAGTTGCTAATTCTATACAAATTAGTATTGAATTTAATGAATCCCAATTAAAATTATAAATTAATATTTCATAAAATCTGACAAGCTAACTGCAAATTGCATGTGAAAGTGAAAATGTACAAAATAGTCAAAACAACTTTGATAAGAGCTATGAGATAAATTTGTGTACTACATATCAAAACATTACAAAACTCTAGTAATGAAAATATGGTAAAACTGATAAAGAATAGACAGATCACTGAATGAAATAAAACAAACTAAATGATGTATAGTACTTAATAAAATTATCATTTCATAGTAGTTCTAACATGATGAACTGTGCAATAAATGATATTGTGACAAGTAGCTCTCCAAATATATGTTTTTCATTCAAGTATATTTAAAATATAAATAAAGGGCCTTCCTGATGGCAGAGAGCTGACCCATGTGGCACAGTGACCTCTCCTGTCTTGCCAGCTGCTTCCCTCAGCAGTGTATTTCAGTAGATCCACCTGTTCTGCTCCCCACTTGGGCTCTGGTGAATCCTCTCTCACACCCCCATCCCCACACCTTTGGCCTGCACCCCAGTTCTTTTATGCATAAATAAATAAAAATAAATCTTTTTAAAAAATGAACTTTTAGAAAAACAGCAGTGCCATCCTCTCCATCAAGCAGTAGCCAGCACTCTCCAGCAGCCAGAGTGAATTTTTTTAAGATGAAAGGCAAATTAAATCACTCAAAACTCTCCGATGGCGTTTCATCTCATTACAAATACAATTCAGTCTCTCCTTGTATTCTTTCAGCTGCCCTCTTATACTAGACTGAAAAATGTCCCCCCAAAATATACCCACATCCTAAACTCTGGAGTCTTATGAATGTTCCCACATTACCATATGTAGGGGAGGAATCTTTGCTGATACAACCAAGTATTTTGAGATGGGGAGATTATCTGGATTATCTGGGTGGCCCTAAATGCAATCTTTATAAAGATAAGCAGAAGGAAACTGCATACACACAGGTAAAGTGATGTGCAAGCAAGGCAGAAATAAAGGGATTTGAAGATTCTGGCCTTGAAGACTGGAGTGATGTGGCAACAAATCAAAGACCAGAAGCTGGAAGAAGCAAGGAGAAGATTCTCCTCTAGAGTTTCCAGAAGAAGTGTGGCCTTGCTGACACCTTGATTTCGGCTCCGTGGTATTGATTATGGACTTCTGGCTTCCAGGATTGTGAAAGAATAAATTCCTATTGTCTTAAGTCACCTCATTTGTGATACTTTATAATAGCAGTCACAGGAAATGAACCCCTTTTACCACTCTAAGTGTTTTCTGTCTTTTTCTTTATGACACAGCCACAGAACCACAGAACTCTTTCAGATCACTCCACCTCAGGGAATCTCTGCAGTTGTTAGTGCCTCTACCTGAAAGGGAAAAGCACTGCTTTCTCAGAGAAGACTTTCTCACAACCCGATACCAAATGGATCCTTCCTGACTACTCTATGCTATTATCCTGACTTACTTGTTTTCTAGCACTTATCACTCACTACCTGTTATATTTGAATATGGGTTTTGTTTTTTTTTTGGTCTGTCTCACTCCATGATAGCAGAGATTTTGCTTTGTTCACTGTTGTAGTCCTAACACCTAGAAGCTGTGCTTGCTATACAGTAGGAGCTCAGTAACGATCTGAATGAATGATGGAAAGACTGAAGAAACAAATTTCATAATATTACTCAGAATCAATACTGTTCACAATAGTCATTGCCAAGATGGGAAGGGGCCTCCCAGGTGGCACAAGGGGTTAAGACACAACTTATGAGGCTGATCACCTCCACTGCAGCACAAGTTCAATCCCTGGCCAGGGAGCAACCCACATGGCACAGCAGACCTCTCCTGTTTCACCTGCTCTTCCCCTCAGCAGTGTATTTCAGTCAGTCTGCTTGTTCTGCTCCCCACTCTGTCTCTGGTGAATCCTCTCACCCCCCCGCACCTCTGGCCTGTAACCGCATTCTTGTATGCATAAATAAATAAATCTTAAAAAAAAAAAAAAAAAGAGAAGGAAAAGGCAGACAGCTACCTGTACTTCTATGCAAATGCACTTTGGGTATTTATCAGCAGCTTCCCAGCTAGAAGTACAATTATTACACAGACAATGAGGACCACCTGAAAGGCAGTGTTCTTTGATTAAGTAACATTTTTAATTATGGCTCAAAGAAATGAAAGTGGGATCCTGTCTGTACAGGATAAGAGCTCGGAAACTCCAGAGATACAGGTGTTAAAAGGAGATTTGACTTAAATGCTAAGTTCTGTGAAGATAACATTTAAAGCACAGAGAGTGTATTTCAAAATTATAATCAAGATTCAAGTTAATAAAATGTTAGCATCTTTAAAAATAACCTAAATAGGGGCCTCCCTGGTGGTGCAAAGGGTTAAGTCTCAGCACTATAAAGCTATCTGCAGCCACTGCAGCAGAGTTTGATCCCTTGCCAGGGAGGTGACCCACATGGTGCAGCAGACCTCTCCTGTCTCGCCCGCTGCTCCCCTCAGCAGTGTACTTCAGTCCGTCTGCCTGTTCTGTTCCCTGCTCTGTCTCTGGTGGGTCCTCTCACCCCCACCGCATCTCTGGCTTGTACCCCAATTCTTGTATAAAAATAAAACTTTAAAAAAAAACCCAAAAACCTAAACACCAATAAATTTCTGGTAACTTTTCAGTGATAAAAATAAAAATAACAAGTTTAGGTCTCAATGCTCTCTTACAAAAACCAGACATCAGTGAAAAAAAGAGAATGAGAAGGAAACCAGTAAAAATATCAGTAGAGATAGCCTCATCCTTACACATACCATTAAGACTCAATATTCTGCCCCTATGTCTTCATATTCAATTTAGTATTTTTGTTATCACCTTTCTAAACTGACACAAAGGTGTTTCACCAGTATTTGGAACCCTCTGTCACAACAAACCTTCAATATTCTAGGCCAGAGTTATCAAATCATGCTTAAACTACCTCTGGAGGTGTCTCAGTGGGCAGGACTCCAAGGCTGCTGCTTTTATTTTAAAACAAGAACACTTCGCAGTTCTTAAACCCAGAATAAGATTTTGTCTGGAGGGAAAAAGATCCCATTGCATGAATAAAAGAAGTCATCAACCTGGACTGTAGAGGCTTTGTCAACATCTCAGTGTCAGCTTCTGGGACAGAGACTTTAAGTTGCCATACAATATCCAATTGCCACTCTCCTTTCTTTATAGAATTCTGATTTATTTGGAAATGCTATGTACCAGCTAAAAGACTACAGATCACTGTAGCTAAGAGATACCAAATGACTAAGCTTTGTGTGAGATTCCAAGGAAGGCTGCTTCAAGAGAAAAGGCTCAGTTTAGAGGTATAACCTTGCTTTTTCTCTCTTTCTTCTTCCTGATGCTTGGTCTACATATGTAATGGCTGGAGCTCTAGCAGTCATCTTGGACTCTATGGTAACCAAGAGGATAGAAACCATGTATGCCACAGCCAAGAGAGGCACCCAGCCCTCTGATAATATCTTAGAACTTACCACTAGCACTAGACTGACTACCTTCAATAATTTCTTTTTTTTTCCCCTAAAGATTTATTTGTTTGTTTGTTTGTTTATACAAGCACTGGGCACAGTCTGAAGCGTGGGAGTGTGAGAGAATTCACCAGAGCCAGAGCAGGGAGTGAGGCAGAGAGCGAGGTCTGTGCACCATGTGGGACCCTCGCTGGTGGCCGGAGATCGAACCGGCGCTGCAGAGGCTGCGGGCAGCTTCGCAGCCCAGCACTCAACCGCTGTGCCACCGGGGAGGTCCCCTTCAATAATTTCTTACTTGAGAAAATAAATCCTAAGTCACTGGGGTCATCATGATTCATAACCCCAATTGATACATTCTTTATGCCTACCATTCTACTTCTTTCATTGTATGTTTACATTTCCTTCATTATTACTCTTACTTTTTTATTTTTTAGTATCCTACTATTTTTCCAGAACAGTACTAGCCAATGGAATTTCTACAATAATGAAGATAGTCAATACTGGCACTCTCCAATAACTTGTGACTATAAAGTACTTGAAATGTATTGACTATAACTAAAAACTCAATTTTAAAATTTAATTTAGACTAATTTAAATGTAAATACTCATATGTGGCTAGTGCTACCCTTTTTCCTAAAACCTTTGCAGTCTCTACCCTTCCCTTTTCAATCTCAGCAATCTCATCTACTTGCATGGCTTTACCTCTTACCTTAAAGCATATGTCAATGCTTGACCTCTTAACAAACTGCCAGGCCGACATTTGCACCTGGAAGGCAAGATGTTGTCCAGCGATTCCTCAAACTGGAATATCATTCAAAACCTATTCCTATTGACTCTTCTAACCTTCCAGTTGCCTGGATACAAAACCAGACAGTACTCTTTGACATTTTTCTTATGTACACACAACTGTCTGTCATATCAACTGTACTCATATCTGCAAATATCACACATTCTTTCACCTCCACAACTCTCACATCCTCCTTATCCTATGTAGTCACAATACCCTGCTCACCCTTCTATTCCTCTAATGTAAATTCTATTACTATTGTATTTTAACTCTTCTTTGCTTGCACTTTCTGAATTCTTGTTCATCTTACAAGTTATTGCTAGGGTCTCCCTGGTGGCCTACGGGTTAAGTCTCAGAGCTATCACCGTGATAGTTTAATAGTCTTGATCCGCGATAGTCTTGATCTTTGGCCAGGGAGCTAACTCACATATGGCATAGCAGACCTCTACTGTCTCACCCGCTGCTCCCCTTACCAGTGTATTTCAATAGATCTGCCTGTTCTGCTCCCCACTCTGTCTCTGGTGAATCCTTTCACCACCCAACCTCTGTTCTACACTGTAGTTGTCCTATGCAAAAATAAATAAAATCTTTAAAAAAAAAAACAAAAACAAGTTATTGCTATATTAATTGTCCTTAATCACACCTCTGATGTCACTCATGTGCTTAAAGCTTCAATGATCAACCTTGCTGAACTGAATAATCAAGAACACCTGATTTCCCTGAGAAATCATTTTGTTTCCTACTTTCTAATGAGTAAGATTCTATAACATTTTATTTTAAGTTCAATCATACTAACACTGTAACATCAGCCTTATGACTAATAAGATATGTGCATTCTTGGATGCTTATTCTATATTTCAGAATCCTAATAGATGCATTCTTCATTTAATTTAACCACTAATTGTTCTTTTAAAGATTAAAATTATAAAAATAAATTAGAGATACACTGCTCTGCTGAAATTCACTGTCAATCAAAATATGGTCTCAGCCAACCCGATGTCTCACTACTATTTTACCCATTCCCTTCCCCATAAACAGCCAGAATGCATTATTCGTTGTTGCCTATACAGAGCCCATACTTTTCTGCTTCCATGCATGCAGTTCACTACATTTGGGGGGAAATACATGACTCCTGCCTTAATATGTCCTTTGGCATCTCAGGTTGTAAGTTCAACTCATCCCTCATGATGTTTTAAAAAAGCCCAATCTTTGACTCATTTTAATAATACCATACCTACCAACTTTAAAATTCACTAATAGTTCCATTGTATATCCCATGGACTAGTTTTTACCATAACTAAGTTTTACCATAACTGTTGATGTACTTCTTAAAAATCCAAATACAAATAGGTTAGATATATATAATGTATATACATTTTACTTAGCAGCAAGGCATATTTAGGAATGAATGGTTATATAAAGCCACTACCTTTATCCAATTTTTTTGCTCTAGATAACTTTTCTTGTGATCTCCTTTTTAGTTCCTGGACTGGAATACAAGCCAATGCTTTCTCCTGGAGAGCAAGGTTCTCATAGACCAGCACATGCTGAATGTTGGACCGAAGAACTTTTAGAATGACTGGATCAGCGGTGACCTAACAGGAAAAAAAAAAAAAAAAAAAAAAAACAACACTGAAATTAGCATTTTAACATATGCTATAAAAAGAACATGAAAAACAGGTTTGATGAGTTCACAGATTAAAAGTGCATAGATTCACTGAAATGTAATTATGCTCAAAAATCTTTACAAACTTAGACGATAACTGTTGCCTCAGTGAGTTAGGATGCTTAGATTCCCAAAAGGAGAGAACAATATCCATACTCAGAACAGTTACTTCTGACATAACCCACCTTGCAGGATGTACTGCCCCTCCTCACAGATGCTGGCAGCAGATGCAGTACTCACAGACAGGTTAGGAGCTCTGAATCATATGTTGATATGTTAGAATCAACATCAGAAAAACTAACCCTGCAGTCATGGCAGGAAACACAGAAAATGAGTAAAAAGGTCTATCTTCAAAAGTTTGAGAGTATACTGTGCTCAAAAAAAGACAACTAGGATCCCGGATATTAAAAAATTTAAACACTAAAATGAAGCAAGCACAGACAGTGTCAAATAGTAGAATAAACACAGCTAAAGAATGATCAATTGGTTAGAAGTTTGAGCCAAGACATTTTCTGAGAATACTGCATGAAAAGACATGGAGGACAAACACAAAGTTCCCAACTCCAGCTTAGAGAGTAGGATAGGGCCTCTTGGGTGGCCCAAGTGGTTAAGCACAGCACTATGAAGCAATCCGCAGCTTCTGCAGCACAAGTTTGATCCCCAGCCAGGGAGCTACCCACATAGCACAGCAGACCTCTCCTGACTTGCCCGCTGCTCCCCTCAGCAGTGTATTTCAGTCAATCCGCCTGTTCTGTTCACCTCTCTGTCTCTGGTGAATCCTCTCACCCCCCACACACCTCTGGCCTGTACCCAGTTCTTGTATACATAAATAAATCTTTGAAAAAAAAAAAAAAAGTAAGTAGGATCGAGAAAAATGGAAAACTTTCTCAAAGAAATAATGGAAACAAATTTCTGAGATTTGAAGAAAGAGCTGGTATGAATGGAAAACAACAATAAACTGGGCATATATTAGTGACTTTTTGTAACACTAAAGGTAAAAACAAAATCCTAAAAACTGCATTGATATCAGACATCTTATTGAAAATAATGAAGCAAATCTTTAAAATTCTGAGGGAAAATGACTACAGAGAAAAGCTAAAGATGAAGTTCAATTAGTAAGCAGCTAGATCCTTCTTGCTTGCTTCCATTTGTAATAGGAAATTATTAAAGAGATTTAAGCAAGGCAGTAAAAAGATTAGACTTGTATTTTTAGAATATCACTCTGGTTGTAATGTGGCAAAAGCAGGTATCAGTCCCCCAATGGAAAACTACTTCAAATTTCTGACAGAACTGGTGGCATAAACTGGATTGGTAAAAGTAGTGAGAGAAAAAGCAAATGGATATGAAAAGTACTTAGGAAGTAGAATTAACAGGTCCTAGTGACTGAAATGGAGAGTCAGGAGGCAGTAAAAGTGAAAAATATATAAATTAGGAAAAATGCATGTATTTTTGATAATAAGGAACTAGGTCAACAGTTGACTAACTAGCAACAGGAGAATAACTGAGCTAAAGATTTCAAATGATGAAAAAAAAAATGAACTGAAAAAAAAGTCCATCAAATTTAGCAGCATGGAGGAAGTTGATGATCTTAGTAAAATGTAATAAGTTAATACAGGAAATGAGTCCTAAGAGTCTTACTTATTAAGTGGTACCCTAAGACAGACTTAGTGCACCAAACGAACAGTCAGAGGGTCCACTGGAATGTGGGTAAAAAATACTGGAACTTGTATTTATGTAACTTTTTTTGTCCAAAAAGTGAAGCAATTAAGTTATAATACTATTTACTACATGGATTACCAGTGGTTCCCTCTCAAGCTAGAGAAGTTATCCAGAGAAGAGGAGCTAACCGTGGCATGGCTCACTCCTACTTCTACCTTCATTATGTTACAAAGGTTTACAGTTCAATGTGCCTGGTTAAGTGGATTTATAGATTGTATTAACTGTCAGCCTAGATTTAAGACGATTACAAAGAATGCTAGACATTAAGATTAATACCAATAATGTAAGCATAAACAGCAAAAAGAAAACAGTTGGGTTAACACTTCTACTTCTTAGTATGAGCCCTTCAACAGCTACATTTTAATGCCAAAAAAAAAAAAAAATCACAATCTACTGAGATCTCACAAAGTTAGCCAATTCAGATAATGTGGGATACGCAGATATTTGTGGGTTGGCCTGTTTCTAAGAAAGGAGAAGGGGGCCTTCCCGGTGGCACAGCAGTTGAGTGCTGGGCTGCAAAGCTGCCTTCGATCCCCGGCTGCTGGGCAAGGGTCCCACATGGCATGACAGACCTCTCCTGCGGTGCCCGCTGCTCCCCTCAGCAGTGTACTTCGTCAGTCTGCCTGTTCTGTTCCTGGCTCTGGTGAATCCTCTCACCCTCCCGCGCTTCTGAATGTACCCAGTGCTTGTATAAAATAAATAAATCTTTAAAAAAAAAAAAAAGAAAGAAGGGTTCTTGACCATTCCCAAGTTCCCCTTCTCCCTTTCTGGTTTAGCCAGTCTGGGTGACGTCCTCGAATCTGCATGTGCAGGTTTTCTGATGCCAATGGCCCAAACTTAGATGAAAACTTACTTAAAGCAAGGTTTAAATGCCATGAGAAGAATCCCTAAGAAAAGAGGAGGTTCAAGACTGGACACAGTCCATGGTGGGGAGAGAGGGATACAGGGATGGAGGAAGAATATTTATTAGGAAAGGGCACATTCCTCCATTAGCAGAAAGAATGAGTGTTAGAGATGGCTGAATAAGCCTGATGAAGACCTGTGATGAGAAATCCTGGGTATTCACAATGGGGAGGAACACGTCCTTTACCAGATTGTTATAGAAATATGAAAGAGGGAAATTTCTTCATTTTCATTTGAAAGAATTTTTATTAAAAAAAGATACTTACATTGGTATTTTTTTTTTAATGCAGATTTTTATTTACCAAGAAGGGTAAGAACTCATCCTGAGTATTTTTATTTTCAATTTAATACTTTTCAATCTGGAAATTACCTCATTTGTTGTGATTTTAGTGGCATTCAAATGATCTTGAACAATAAAGTTTATTTTCTTGCCTTATTTCTTTACATATTCATTGGTACAACTAAAAAAAACCTAACTCATAAAAATAGAGTTTTGCTGATTGCATGGCAATTACAGCAGCTGGGTAACCATGTCCATAAAGGCAGCAGCTAATTGCTTGTGAGAGTAAAAGTTATTTGGAGTACGAATGGAAGTTTAAATTGTCAAATCTGTTTTAGAGTAAAAACATTTTTCTCTTCACTAATAATACTTTGGTTTCAATTATTTGGCTTCTAATATGAGATATATTTAAGACTCTTAATAATAAAGGACAAAGTATACATTTTATTATATTTCAATGTAAGCAGTGGAAGCTGGACTAGCAAATTCACTTCTTTAGTAAAGGACCAAGGCTTCCCAAACCTATAGTTTCTTTCTACCTTCATATAACCCTTTGCTTGAGTTATTTTAAAATTTAAAACCTGTTTTTTTTTTTTTAATTGTATTATTTTTATTGCTGTAATGATGGCTTACATCATCTGGGGACACAAGTTTACATCTTCTCAGGTTTATGTTGCCACACCAGGCCCACCACCAAAACACCCATAATCTTCGACCACAATACACTGGCCCCCTTCTCCGCTCTGCTCCCCTCTAAGAGCATCAATTCTATAGATTTTTAAGATTTGTTTTGGTTTTGAATTTTTGTAGAACCTGTTTTTAAATACAAAAGTTTTGTTTGAGACATTTTTTAATGATAGGTTTAATGAACTTGTGACTTCACTAAGCTTATTTATTATAAAAAATTCATTTATTGCTTACAAAAGTAATATATGTTGCAAAATAATTCAGATGATATTTAAATGGTATAAATACTATGAAATCACCTACAATTTTACTTCTCAGAGGAAATTATGGCTAAAATATCTGTGTATGTCTTTCCAGACCTTGTGAAATGAATGTGTATTTTTATAAGAAAAAAATGACATATTATACACATATACACAATACATTGTTTTAGAATTCGCAGTTTACTTTCTTTCCACATACTACTACTTGTCATGTCAAAATAAACCTCATCATTATTGACAGATGCTAAAAATGCCAATATAAGGATGTGTCATGACATAAGTAATTCCCTATTGAAGGGTACCTAGGTATATTATATAAGAACCGGGGTACAGGCCAGAGGTGTGTGTGTGTGGGGGGAAGGATTCACCAGAGACCGCGTGGGGAACAGAACAGGCAGACTGACTGAAATACACTGCTGAGGGGAGCAGCAGGCGAGACAGGAGAGGTCTGTGAGTCAGCTCCCTGGCAGGAGATCGAACTCGTGCTGCAAAGGCTGCAAATAGTTTCATAGGTTGTGTCTTAACCCCCTGTGCCACAAGGGAGACCGTATTTTACTTTTTTTTAAAGATTTATTTATTTATACATACAAGAACTGGGGTCATTAGGAAAATACAAACTAAAGTCACAATGAAACACTACTTAATAGCCACTAAAACAGTTATAATAAAAAAGACAATAACAAATGTCAGTGTTGGCAAGGATATTTAGAAACTGAAACCTTCATACATAGTTGCTAAGAATGTAAAATGGTACAACTTTGGAAAACAGTTTGGCAATTTCTTAAAACATTGAATATAGGGCCTCCCCGGTGGCGCAGTGGTTGAGCGCTGGGTTGCGAATCTGCCCACAGCCTCTGCAGCGCCGGTTCGATTCCTGGCTGCTCCCCTGCCACCGGAGGAAGGTCCCACATGACGCGTGGACCTCTCCTGCCACCCGCTGCTCCCCTCAGCAGTATACATCGATCCTTCTGCCTGCTCTGCTACCCGCTCTGGCTCTGGTGAATTCTCTCACCCTCCCACGCTTCTGACTGTACCCAATGCTTGTATAAAATAAAATAATCTTTAAAAAAAAAAAAAAAACATTGAATATAAACTTGTTACAAAACCCAGTTGTCCCAACCCTAGGCATCTACCCAAGAAACATGAAATCCTATGTCCACACAAAGCCTTGTAGTGGCACTATTCACAATAGACAAAGACTGGAAATAACCCAAATGTCCATCAAGGATTAAGCAATAAAAAGGAACAAAATATTGAAACATCTTACAATATGAATAATCTTCAAAACATGCAAAGTAGGGCTTTCCTGGTGGTACAGGGGTTAAAGAAAGCGCTATCAAGCTACTGCCAGCAACTGCAGCATGAGTTTGATTCCCATGTGGGCCAGGGAGCTGACCCACATGGTGCAGCAGACCTCTCCTGTCTCACCTGCTGCTCCCCTCAGCAGTGTATTTCAGTAGATCTGCCTGTTCTGCTCCTTATTCTGTCTTTGGTGAATTCTCTTTCACACCCCCTGCCCCGCACCTCTGGCCTACACCCCAGTTCTTGTATGCAGAAATAAATTTTTTAAAAAAATATATTCTAACACTATAATTAGAAAAATCAAAAGAAAAGGTGCTAAAGACCAAGAAAAAAGTAAAATGCACTGTCTGTATCTGCATCAACCCTAACTGCAAAACTGATGAAGACCTCAGACATTCCAAGGTGGAATATACATGCTAAAGAGAGGGACACAAAAGATGCCACTGGGTGCATTTTGGATTTATTTTATATTTCAACCCTTTATGATTGTTGTGGAAGGTACATATTAATACAGAAGTATTTAAGTTATGAGTACAAAGACAGTTTACTGGATTATGAACTCAACATTTTACTACCGGTAAGAAGTACAATCAAAAAAGAGTGGAGTTAATCCTCCACACACAAAAAATTGAAAATCACTCAGTAAGAATTATATAAAAAGCCTTATATAAAAAGATAATACCTGTTTTCTTCCCCTGCCAGGGTCATTCACCTTTATCCTTTATTTTATAAAGACAAACTTAGGGCCTTCCCAGCCCACAAAAAAGAATCACCGCCAGTCATTTCACTAGTAGGAAGGTGAGGTGTAAGACTCTGTAATTATTCAGGTGAAGATTAAGGCTAGATTTAATAATTGATCTCTAAAAAGTACTGTTTGTGGAGAATGACAAGATGTCTTAACAAAATTAAATTAAAAGAATATGACTTTAAGTGAGTTACTGGTAAAATTATTATAGAAATATCAAGTAAGTTTTCCTAACAGTGAAAATTCAGGAGAATACACAAAGAACTTTAACAAAAAGAAATCCTGTAAACAGGATAATTTCCTATCAAATGAGATCATTAGGTATATCAAGAACGTGTACATCAGATATTTGATTTCAGTGCTTCAGAAGTATATGTCTGTGTAGGCTAATAACTAAACTATACTAATTTGCTAGAACCACTATCAGTAAATTAATGCATTGTCATTTACCTTAAACCTAAAAAGCTGACTTTTTTATTGAATGGAGGCACTAATAATGGTTAATTTGTTGCAATTAATAATCCCAATGGTGAATAGCAGTAGGTAAACTTTAGATCAGAACTGTTAAAGCATTAGAGGAAATTGAATCTGCCATACCCCTGTCCCGGAAATGAATTACTGTGTTTTAGGTTAAAGACAGTCTAATTTATATAACTGATTTAGGTACTACTGCCACTTTATAAATGATAAACAAAACTTAAGTAGATTCAGAAACAGTAAGTTTAAATTAAGGTAACACTGCTTTACAACACTGTATGTGACCCAGAAATATAGGATTCTACCTCTTTAGGCATCTATAATTGCAACACACCCACCACCAGATAAGTAAAAGATAGTCATTTTCCATACATTTGTTACAAATTTGATAATTTTTTAAAAGAGCTGAGGAATTTTGGATATAAGAACCAAGAATAAATTCAGGAATAAACCATAACAAATTCAAAGCTTTTGTAATTTCAATAGTTTGAAAGGAAAAGTTAAGGAAGGTTTAATTCCAACATTACCATTGGAGCAGATGATGGATTTGATGGCCGCCCTCCACTGTCCCCTGCATGCTGAGTTAACCCATTGGGATTTGAAGACTGCGGTGCAGGAAGCTGGGTAGTTGATGCAGGCTGCTGAGATAACTCTACTTTATGGTTCTTATTTGAACCATCCAATCTGCTACTTCTCTCTATGGCAATCAGGTCACGAATTTTTTGCAACTGCTCCACTGAAGCTTTTTTAGGAAAGATAAGATGTGTTTCTCCCTGAAATGCATAAAATTAAGAACAGTTTAAAAATTTACTTTATAGTGACAGCTAGCCATATATACAAGTCCTGAGGTGTGACATCCAAAGTCAGTCAGAAAATTTCAGTATAATTTAAGTAAATTAGTCTTATCAAAACATGGTCTTTTTTCCTGAAATTTCCTGATTTCATTTGTATCAACCACTATTTTCAAGTCTCAGTCTGGATTATCACCAGGCACTGATGTGACCAACCTTCAGGTTTACTTGATACGGAGTGGTTTTCTGGAATGTAAGCCTTTCATTGTTAAAACCAGGATAATTTCAGGTAAACTGTGACTACTGGTCACCCTACCTGGTGCTCAAATATTATTTAAATGAAAGAAAATCTGATCTCACTGAATCTGTGACATTCAATAATGAGAAATCAGTACTTTCCAGTTACTATTTTCTCAATTTTCCTGTCATTTGACTTGAAAAATCTCCATTTCCTTGAACAAACTGAACAATGTTATCAATTTTCCCCTTCTATTCTCTATGTTGAGGTATCTGTTAATAACTAAAAACAGATGATGTAACTTATCTCCAGTCTGACTTCTCCTTTTGAGTTAGACTCATATTCAACTGCTTATTGCCATCTCTACTAGAATATTTTAGAGCATATCAGTTAGAACTATCCAAAAAATAGATAATGATTTCTCCTTTGTAAGATTTCTCAATCTCAATTAATGATACTCCCAACTATTTAGTTGTTCAAAGCAAAATCTATAAGTCATCCTTTCCCTTAATACCCCACATACAATGTATCTGCAAGTTATGTAGATTCTTTCAAAAAGAAATCCTGGGTCCCTTTACTTCTCCCCTATCTCCACAGCTATTGGTTTTTAATTCAACAAATATTTACTGAGTGCTGAAATGTACTAGCACTATTCCAGGAGCTAGCAACACAGGAAACAAATCAGACAAAAAGCTCTGTCCTCATGAATCTTACAAGAACCACAACTGTTTCTCATTGAGACTAACATAATAAGCTTTTTAAAAAAAAAAAATTATTTATTTATTTATACAAGCACTGGGTGCAGTCAGAAGCACGGGAGGGTGAGAGAATTCACCAGAGCCAGAGCGGGGAATAGAACAGGCAGACTGACAAAATACACTGCTGAGAGGAGCAGTGGGCGCGGCAGGAGAGGTCACCTCTGCCTGCTTCTGCAACTATTCTCTATGTCAAAGCTACTCCTGCTAGAATGCTTCCGCCTCAGGCACCTGAACTGTTTCTTGTCACTCACATCCCAGGCTCAAATGTTATCTCCTCAGAGGCCTTCCATGACAACTCACTCTTAATATATCACTGGGTCTTATTTCCTTCTTTGCATTCATCTTTGTTTTCATGTCTGTGTTTGACCTATTAGAATGCAAACTCCATGTGAAATGGAGCCTTTGTCTATCTTGTTCACTACTGTATCCTCATGGACAAGAACAGAATCTGAAGAGGTAGCAAAGAAAATGCATCCTGTAACAACTCAGTATATCTCTGACAATTTCTAGACAGTTCTGACTGAGAGTCTGACAATTTCTCTTGATAATTCTGAGTCTCCAAAATCTGCTTTGACGTCTTTCAATAGTCCATAGACTACAAGTGGTTAAGCATATATAAAGAAAATTCACAATCTTGGTAACTCTATTTATTGTTATAAAATTAAACTATGCTACAAAATTCTAGAAGATGGAAATGTTTTTCTTTTGATCTAAACACAAAACACACTGCAATCATTCTCATGCCACAGAAGAAAACTCCCATGTATGTTAACTATGCAGCTTTTCTGTGTTTACTTCAAGCTTTCCTCATTTTGTACTGAAGACAGGTAGTTAGATCCTATTAGTATGCATATGTGCTTACAAATCAGGGTTTTGCTGAAAGTATATGATGAAATAAAATTTGGTCTTGCGGTGTGTGTCTGAGCTCCCTAATCCAAAGGGCTAAGACTTGTAAGAATTTTTCCCATGGGAGAGTTGCTATATTTTACTGTACTTTCAAAGTATATTTACTGATACTTCAAAAATATCTAAGAGGTGAAGAAGAACTTGTGACATGGATTTCTGAAATGAGACTAATTAATAAGAAATAGTATTGTACTTAAACAATTATTCATTAACACTATAATGAATGCTATGTATATAAATTGGGGAGAAAAAAGTACATACCTCTTCAAAGCCCATTTCAAATAAACATTCAACAGCTCCTCTGACAGGCAACAGTCTAGTAGAAAAAGCTGTGTTTCCAATTCGGATAGATCTGTATTTTTCATCATTAGGATTTCTGATTGTAAAAAAAAAAAAAGTCTGATTATATATAACAGTTTATAGTCTTCACAATATTTTGGATTTTCTTGTCACATTTTATACTGACTATAACTCTATAAGTGATATACATCCCAAATTTACAGAAAGAGGAAGCACAGCACAGAAAAGGGACTTTATTTTGTGATTCTTACCTCAGTGTACATTTACTATGATCTTACCATTTAACTTTACCACTGTTAATATCAATGCTGCTACAAGGGAAATTCATGTGACATTTTAATTCTATGCCACTAAAATAAACTTTTTGAATATTTAGGTTACTAAGTAAAAAAATCGTATAAACTGGCAGCAGTTTTGTCTGTTTTGCTCTGATGGACCTCAATCATCAAGAAAGGTACCAGCATAGGGGTCTCCCTGGTGGTGCAAGGGATTAAGATGCAGCACTATGAAGCTACCTGCAGCCACTGCAGCACCAGTTCGATCCCTGGCCACATGGCACAGCAGACCTCTCCTGCTCCCTTCAGCAGTTTATTTCAGTCAATCCACCTGTTCTGCTCCCCACTTTGTCTCTGGTGAATCCTCTCACCCCTGCACCTCTGGCCTGAACCCCAGCTCTTGTATGTACAAATAATCTTTTTAAAAAGATGGTACCAACATAGTATTTGTGAAATAAATAAAACTAAGTAGTTACATAAAAGCACATCATAATTCCTTAAAGATTTTATGCCTGACAAACATGAGCCTAGATATATCACTTGATTCTCTTTCTTTTCTAGACCAATGATTAAACAGTTTTTATATTAAGTTCCACCTCAGCTTAAGATACATTTTTGTCGCAGCTAGTATGGTAATAAAATAAAATGAAGATGTGAATTTTTTCAGATCATTATGATTTGAGTAGTATACATGGGATGAGACAAGCACATGAAAACAATATGTTTTGAGATTTTTAATAACCTTGATAAATCAGAAAGGGGATTTATAAATAAATAAATAAAATTTATTTATTTTCAGAAAGAAAATATAAGGTTAAGGTAATCTCAGAAACCCTTCAGAACATAATCTAGGATAATATTTAGATTTCATATCTCTGATAACCACTCCACATAAATGATAGTGGGCTCCATTAGCACACCATTGTGAGAAGAATTCTGAGGCTGTGTCAAGGGTCCATAGTAAGGAGTGCTGAGACCACCTGCCTTGGGTATGGAATGGAGGGGTAGGGAAAGGGTAGCAGCCATCTTTGTCCCTAATAATATATGCTCTCTAGATATTGTGATATAAAAACATAATGAAGGAAAAGATTTTTAATTGTAGAAATTTCAACAAATTTCACATTTGTTTTCTATCAAGAAACTACCTGTTGCCAAACTGTTACAAATACCACATTCATCTTTTTCAAATCTCTTTACCTTAATTTCAAAAATTATACAAGTTTATCACAGAATATTCAAAGATAAAAGCTCTAAAATAGTGTTTCTCAAAGTCCACAGATTGGTGATCTACAAACTCTTTGTTATCTACTCATGTGAAATTCAGAAATTGAGTTTTCAGTTTTTTTAGTAATTTGATATGGTTATGGAATTTTCATTATATTTTACAAAAGGACTGGAAATTAAAAACAAAAACATTATTTTTCACCACAGATCAACTGAGAATCATGTAGTTACAATCACAAAGAAAATACATTATTCTGACCAAATTACATTAGGGTTTCTCAACCTTGGCACCATTGACATTTGGGTTTTGGATATAGGGTGCTGCCCTGAGGGGAGCAAAATGTCAAGTACTTCTAACTTCCATGTCACACTGTATCCTCAGTGTGCCTTCATTTCTTACCAGTTTAACAAAAAACATAAAGCTATAAAATACTCGGCAATCACCAAAGCCAGTTATAGATAAATAATGCATGACACTAAACACATTTTACAGGGTGATGATGAATATTACAGTGTCACAAGGATGGTATATCCTACTGATCTAACACTGCTTAAACTGTTTTAATCAATTTTTCCCCAATGGCTTCTAGATTTCTTATATGTTCAAAGCCTTTCACTGGGCTTAATGTTCTCGCTTTTCTTCCCTCTTTTACCATGGTTCGAAAATTCTCCTATAAGCACAAATGACTATAGAGATTGACTGTGGGTGCTTTGGTGGTGGGTGAAGTATAGTAACAATACCTGAAAGGAGGTGATTCTACACCTACAGGGCACAAATAATGATGTAAACCAATGTCTCAATTTAAAAAAAAGAAAAATGGGAAAAAAAAGAACCAACTTAGCTAAAAAAATTTTTTCATATAACTTATACTAATTGTTCTGGTATAGCTTATTATTTTGACACAGGTTGTTTAAAAGTAATTGCTGGTATAGTTTCTCAGCTATGGGCTTTATGTACTTTCAATTTTCCTCTTTGGTTTCTAGTAAGAAATTTTTTACAAACATCTATGGCCCTCACATATCATTTCTGTTTTTCTTTTCTTTTGAGGACAATTCATCTTTAACTAGAAGCCAGCAAGCTGAAAAAAAGATAAAAGGTCCAAATTCATGGCGAGTTGTGCATGGAAATTAGTGTATACTTTATTCCATAATTTCATTAGCTTTATGACTAAGTTGGAGAATAGGACAAAGATCATTTGGTGTAGAAATTTAAAACTTAACCAAATATACTATTTCCACCTTTGTGTACTATGACACATTACCGCTGTTTAAAAAAACAAACTGCTAATGAAATTCTCATTTCAGCACTTGTATAAAATAGTAAGGCAGACTTGAGATAGGAGCAAGGAATAGCAAAACATTATTCCTTACACATGGTCCCATCTCTAACGCTAATGAATTTCCCAAAGCAGCAAATGGAACAGAAAACCTTGATTTTCTCTACTCGCAAATAGATTAGCTTATCTGTAATGCAGTGTGGCTAGGGATAAAGAAGAAAGGTTTTTCTGTGACTAGGTCAGCAAGTCACTGGAGTGGGCAGGGAAGAAATGCTGTTCTTTCCCCCCCTAGAAGCCTGAAGGAGTTTGAATTCTAAGAATACAAGAGTAGGGACTAACATTATTTAAGCCAAACTAAAAAGGGTAGTTTTTCATACCATCTCCAATTATATGTGTCCCAGGCTCCTAAATGCCTTTTTAGATAAAACCTTTTAAAGATCAGAAACATAAGCCTTACTGTATGTAACATGAACTGACAGCATGCCAAATTTCTTCTATGAGTTTGGTAAACATTCATAATGTTGATTATGATGCCAAGTCATTATTTGCTTGCAAAAGATTTCCTCGCTCAAAATACACAGATTTTAGCATTTTTTGGTTTAATTTAAAGCAGGAGAGAATCCTGATTATAAAGCCACCTCCCTTTTCTGAATAGTGGGGTTTAAATACTTGGGTGGCTTTTCCCAGGTGGAAGATCCCAGACTATGGGCTCTGAAGAACTCTCAGTCTGTGAGTTCACTGATGCAGCCTATCCTTGTGGTCTGAAGGGCTGTTAAATCTCTCAGGGAAGAAAAAGTGAGTTGAGAAGTTGTCACAGAGGAAGAAGGCAGTCCCTACAGAGGTCACAACTGTGTAGCTGCATACCGTGCACATGTTGCATCCCTACATGAACTACCATTGGTGAAAACACTGCACTAGTAACCAAAGTCTCCAAAATTAGGCCACATGAAATCTATAACCTTGAAACTGAAGGGAATTTCCTTTCAGACCTCATGCCAACATACACACCCACTTAGAAGAGCAAGTGCACCTGGGGCTGAGGAGGCTCCGATGTGATCGGGTCCAGCTGATCAAAGAGGTGACGCCAAGAAAGCACCTGGCATCTGGGCCCCTTTAACTTCGGTTCATTTCCCTCCCCCAGGCATCAGGAAGCGTCCAGGTGAGTAATGCTTCAAAAATGAATAGTCAAACTTCCCTCCCAGTTCCCCAAATCTGTCATGTCTCCTAGAAATGTGGACGTGGACTTCGGCTCATAGAGAATGAAACACTACTCCCAGCAAAGATGATCATCTCTGTGTTGAAAAGCAGACCACAGATAGAAACATGAAAAATTTAGCTTTTAAGTAATATGGCTAGGAATATTCCGACCAACAAAAATGGGCAGGAAAAGGCCCTGACAATTCTTTAAAACCCACCACTTCAGGATCATGCTTCCGTGTAAAGATGTTCACCCAGTGCTGGGAAGAACACATTTTGCCAGTGACTAACTTCTGATCAGCATGTGCGAATTTACGCTGTGTGGCAAAACCCAAGCAACGGTCACGAAATGCAGTCACCGTTTGAGGGCTGCCAAGACAGTCACCCACGGGCCCCGGGGAAAGTGGGCACGTCCCCCCTCTCCCCTCCACCCCGTCCCACCCTCGGCCCTCCAGTGCCCCCCAACCTCAGGAGCCAAGTCACAAGAGCAAAGAAACTTCCCCTCCTCGGCAGGGGTGGGGCCTGCTCTGGTCTCGAAGCCCCCGGCTCACCGAGTGTGACGCCAGCGCGCGCGCGGCCTCCGGGCCTCGTCGCCCTTCCGGGCCGGGGTCGGGGGCCCCCAAACGTGGGCCACACAGGGGCGGCGCCTCGCCCGCCCGCCCGCCCGCCCGGCAGCCCCGGCCCAGCCCGCAGCCCGGTACCTGAGGATGTTGTCCGCGTAGGTGAGCAGCAGCTTGGACGCCTCCAGGAAGGTCTCCGGGGTGTTCTGACAGAGCTCGGCCACCGCCGGGGACGAGGAGCCCGACGAGCTGCCCAGCGCCGCAGCCGCCATGCTTGAGCGCCCGCGGCCGTCGCCGCCCCTCGCGCGCCGCGTCCCGCACTGAGCAGGCGCCTGAGCGCGCGGCCGCCTCTGCGGCGGACGGGGCAGGGCGGGGGTGGCTGGCGCGGGGCTGGGGGCTCGCGGGGTGGAGCGGGGGCCTTGGCGGGAAGGGCGGGGCTGTGCGCTAAGGGCGGGGGGCTCGGCTGGGAAGGGTGGGGTGCTGGGCGGGTTCTGCAGGGTAGGGGAGTGCGGTAGGGGATTGGGGGAGAGTTTGGCCTTGTTGGGGGTGAGGTAGTGGGTGGGGAGGGCTCGGCGGGGTACAGAGTAGGGAGGGAGTGAGGTAGCAGGCTGGGAGGACCTGTCGGGAGGAGGGGGTGCTCGGCCTGGAAGGGTAGGCGTGGTGGGGAGGGACCAGGGGCCTCTTCAGGAGGGGACAGATGAGTGGGTTGGATGGATGGGTGGGGACCTCGGCAGGGTTTCTTCCAGAAGGAGCAGGGGCCACGAGAGCCCCCAAACCCGGGTGTCTCTGCAACCCAGGGCCGGTTTCTAGCTAGGCACACATGTGGGGACCCTCTTATCACCAACCAAACTTTTCCTCCCAAATAAAACCATCTACAGCTTCCCTCTCACAGATTGTCAGGCCTTCTTTGAGTGAAGGAGCAACAGACGTTCAAAAACAAACAAGTGGCTTTAAATTGTTGGGTTTCTGATGCATGAATTCTTTTTAAAACTAGATGGATGGAAAAACCTCTTGCTGAAGTCCTAGCTCACATAGCATGATGACCCTGAAAGGTAATGTTTTTTAAATCCCAGGTTGCAGCATACTAATGGATTGTGAACTTCATTTACCATGTAGTCATAAGCACAAAACACAGTAATAACAAAAGAGAGTAGCATGGAGGAGGATAAAGAGGGGGTGGAAAAAATAAAAACAAACATCCCACGTAGTAAAGGTGGGTATTATATTGTGCCTTTGCTGGTAGATGATGTGATCAGTGGCCTTTATTCCTCTCAATCTTTAAACCTCTTTCTTTAATGCGCTCTCTCAGCATGCCCTTGAAGTGTACTTTACACAAGGCTTCCTTCTTGCAGAAGCCTCTTTCTAAACCTCAACAAATAATTTCTTGACCTTATGTTCGGAACATGTTATTTGCCTAAGTAACTTATTTATATGTTCCTAATGCTATATTTTTGCTTGCTTTTAAGATTTGAAAATTTCTTCCAATATTTCTGAGCAAGACCCAGGGCTCTGTCATCCATTTCAGTTACCATTCATTCATCAGCCAGATACACCTGAGTTTTTAATATGTTGGTTTTGGAATCAGCTTCCAATAATAGCGTGTTGAATCAATAGTATATGGCTAGTTGCTATCACTAAAATTGTCAGTGACTTAATACAGGAGATATTTCTTGTGCAAATGACACTGTAATCATACAGGTGCTGTTAAATCAGTGGGCAGCTTTCTTCCGTATAATGATTTAGGCACTCAGACTCATTTATCCTGTAGAATAGAGGTCAACAAACATTTTCTGTAAAGAGCTGATGTAGTAAATGTTTAAGGCTCTGTAACCATAGGATCTTTGTTTCATCTATTGAATGCCGTCTCTGCAGGTGTAGTTCCATAGGAAATACTTTAAAATGAATGAGCTATATATTAATGAAAGTTTCTTTACAAAAACATGAAGCCTGCTGGATTTGTGCTTTATGAACTCCTGCTATGGAGTCTCTTAGCAGTTGGACAAAAAGATGGTATACCTGCTTCTCATCCAGAAATGACATACAAAATTTTCTTTGCCTTATCATTGGCAAGAATGGAGTTCCATCTAGATAAAAGGGGGGATGGTAGGAAATCTAGTCTCTAGTTGGGCACCACCACCCACAACTCTACATTACAGTCATTGGTACTGGGGTTATGACTAGCTGTCTTTGCCATAAACTATATTCCCCTTGAGTTTCTTTTTTTCTCTTAGCTCATTTATTTATCCTTATAATAACTGTGTAAAGCTCTTGTATACTACTTAGCATTTGTGATTTTTTTTAAAGCAACAGAACACTTTTTTCAAATAAAATCTTGGGAGGAAACCCAGTATATACAAAGCACCAAAATAGAAGTGCTTTAGAACTGAAGCAGGAGTATGGGGGTGAGGGGGTGAAGAGGGGCTTGGGGTGGAGCAGGAAGAATGCCATCAGCTCAGCTTTCCCCTTGGAGATAATGGCCTTAGGATACCTCTGTGAGGTACATGAAACTACAGTTGATTGTGAAAATCAATGGCATAGAGCTAACTGTGATAATATACAGATAATAAAATTATAGAAATTATTTCGAGTTGTTCAGGAGGTTGTTACTTTTTTTCTAAGTCACCTGAAATTTAAATCTTGCTAAATTATTTTTTGCCAATACTTCTGTTAAAATTCTTGAGCAACTACACTCTTTCTTAAATATCACCATTTATGAAGCTATTACATGAATTATAAAAAGGAACATTGGCTAGGTGAGGGAGGGATGTAAAAAAAGAGACATTGGCTCATTCTTTCCTTTGCTTCTTTATCTTAAGTTGAAAATAACTTGATTTCTGTTTCCTTTTGAAAATTTGAAGGTATTAAACTAGATTTTTTTTATACCCCACCATTGCCTCAAACAACTAAAAGATGTTTTAGTATTAAATCAGCTTTCAACCTCCTGTTCTTTTACTTGATTTTGTGCGTGCCAAAATAATGAATTTTTTTTCAGTATTCGAGTTTTATTAACAATACCATCTTTAAAGTTGACACATGGTGGCACTATTCTTAAATGGAATAGAATAAAGAAATAACCTAATAAATTTTCCCCAGCATTGCCTGTTATAAAAAAGAAAATGTTGACCTCAATAAAGACAATCAGCAAGGGGAGGGGTTCAAGCCTTTTAGGAATTGGTGTGGTGATTCATTATTGTGTGATAGCCCTAAGTGATTAACCAAATATTTATTGAGCACCTGCTCTGAATAATGCAGATAGATGACATGACTTTTAATGTAGTAGGAAAGACAAAACTAATGATAATATTGACATAGATAGCCCTTTAGTTGATGAAACAAGGTTATTGTGGAAAGAAAAGAGTCATTTGATAAGAAAAGTACAAAACAGCGCATGTATCAATATATGATTTACTATAAGGGCGTGTTCTTATTCATTAATTCCCCAAGTATTTATGAAGTGACTTACTAAATGCCAAGCACTGTGCTAGGCAATGTGAAGCAGTAAAGGGAATAAACAGGAGACCCTGCTTTCAACCAAATCATAATGAGTTTACATCATTATGAGGTTAGATCAGTAGCAGCAGGGAACTTGTTAGAAAGACAGATTCTCAAGTCCCACTTTTAAAGGTGAGGCCCAACAATCTGCACACTAACAAGCCCTTCAGATAATTTTTGATTCACAGTAAAGTTTAAAAACTACTTTTTAGAGGAAGGAAAATTTCACTGTGTGCTACAGTTTTATGGAAGAAAAATTTCAACAGACCCTTAATTTTGGAGGTTATGAAATTGAGGAAGGTGAGGACTTCCTGGTTATGGGAGAATCACCCCACAATTAATCAGGAACAACATCCCAGCAATGTTTCCTCCTCAACATCTGCAACTCTCCCCCTTGCCATTGCCTTACTTCAGGACTTCACCTTCTCTTGTCTATTCTTACTGAACTGTCTTCCCCATGTCCTAGTCATCCCAAGTCCTTTCCCATACCCTGGAAACCCAACCTCACCCTGCCCCTTACCCCCTTCCCCCCCAACACACACACACTGCTGCAACACTGATCTTTCTAAAGCACACATGTGGTCATGATATTCTTTTATGGCAAATGTTGTCAGGAGTTAGGAAAGCACCTTAAATATACAAAGCGGCTGTTTTGAGACGAAAAGGAGTAGCAGAGAGCTTGGTGAAGGGAATGAGCATATCCTTTCTAAAGGAATTTAGATTAAAAAAAAAATAAAGGAATTTAGAGTCAATAAAAGAATCTTGCAGGGGCCTCCCTGGTGGCACAGCGGTTGAGCGCTGGGCTGCGAAGCTGCCCGCAGCCTCTGCAGCGCCGGTTCGATCCCCGGCCACTGGGCAGGTGTCCCACATGGCGCGCAGACCTCTCTCTCCTGCTGCGCCCGCTGCTCCCCTCAGCAGTGTACCTCGTCAGTCTGCCTGCTCTGCTCCCCGCTCTGGCTCTGGTGAATTCTCTCACCCTCCCGCGCTTCTGGCTGTACCCAGTGCTTGTATAAATAAATAAATAAATCCTAACAATTTTTAAAAAAAAAAAAAAAAAAAAAAAAGAATCTTGCAGTCCAAATTAGACCAGTGTTGTCAGCATTTTACCTCTGACCTACAAGATCAAATCCAAAGTCGTTAATACAACACTGAACTATTTGTGATAGGCCCCTGCTTTACTCTTACACTTTACTGTTGCTGTGTCCTCAAATCCACCATTGACCAGATTTATCTATTCGCGGTTTGTGGAAGATGAGATTCCACGTCTTCGTTTTCCACCAATCAGAATGTCCTTTCCCAACCAAGTTACTAAACAAATATTCATTTTCAAGGTACAGTTCAAGGATCAGTGATGCTGCTTCTGTGCCAAGAGGTTGTGTTGAAGTTCAGTCTCCCACCGTTATGGCCATTGGGGCAGCACAGTTAGCCCTAACATAGTTTTAGTTATCTTTCCACATTAATATTCATGTATCAAATTTTTCAAATGGCTGCACAGCTTCTAGATATGCAACATAACAGACAACCCATTTCCAGATGTTGGGCATTTTGCTCAGTTCCCCTTTACTATTATAAATAGCGTTGGGAGGTAAAGTAGTAACCTGGAAGCTAGTCACTTTAACTCTTTTTAAAGCTACAGTTATTAATTCTTTAGTTCTAGTCAAATTACAGTAGAATAGGTGTGCCTTCTGCCACAACACGGGAATATCTGGGCATTAGCATTATAAAAACTCCCTTTTGATGGACAAAAATGTTCTCTCATCGCGTTACGTGTGTGTTTCTGATTACCTACAAGCCACTGAGGTTGGACAGGAGCCCTGCAAGCAGCACAACCCCAACTCCGGCCACACCCACTGCTTGACCTCAGTCAAGGTGACGTGGAGGAAGGGCAAGCGGCCGCCGTCGGCTGGGACGTGACGCGTGCTTGCGCATGCGCAAGGGCCGACGAGCCTGTGCGCGTGCGCACGCAAAAGTCATTGCCGTGCATGGCGGCTGGGTGGCCCACGTGAGTCCTAGTCCGCGTTAGGGGGTGCTTAGAACTTTCTTCCTTCCGCTCCTCTACCGCCTGATCGGGTCAGAATCGGGTCGGGAGAAGGGAGTCTGGGGATTTGGGCCCGATTTCTTCTTTATCTCGCCATGGAGTGTGCGGGCGCTTGAGAGGCAGGGCGGGGGATGGCCACACCCCTTTACTCCCTGCCCATTTTTGTGCTTTCCTTGGGGAGATGAACTCGCCTAACCTCTCCTTCCACTGATTACTTGGTGGAGAAGTTTAGATGCGTGGAGAAGTTTAGATCCATGGAGAAACCCGTCTTCTTCATCAGTCACTAGTCTACATTCAGAGTATTTTCTCAGCCAGGGTCTATCTAGATCTCGCTGGGTATCTTTGTATGGAGACAGAAGTCCACTTGCTCCCACATCGAAGATAGACCCTGAGTGTGTTTTTTGTGCCACGGACAGGAGAAATGCTATTTAGAATAAAGCCTCAGTAATCCTGAAAAAGAATGCTCCTGTCGCCTGTGTCAAGGGGGTGCCTTTTATTTTTCATTGTGTAATTCTGTTTTAGTGCACTGAATGAATCATCACTTCACCTTCCTTGTTTTCGAGTGCCTTGAGGGTGCTTACAGTCTAAAAAAAAGGGAGTTAGGTCCAAATAGGTGGATCGATGGTATGTAAAAATAAAAATGATGTAATATTATTTTCCTTGCTCGTTAACAGCTGACATCAAGCACTTAAAAGAACACTTTGGATATTCTTTCGTTGGCCTTTAAATTACTTAGAAAACAGTGAGTACCTCCTGGACCTGTTGTGATCTGTTACTGGAATTTATTTTTAATCGTCTGAATCTCAACCATGTTGTCAAACTGCTTGCCAAATTTCCTAAAAGTTACACACTCTCATCTTCAGTATTCAAGATTATGCCACCAATTAATAAGAAGTAAAAGGAGGTGCTTCAGAACTGCGCCAACATCCAGATTTCGCCGGCGAGTTGTCATTACAGGCATTGGCTTAGTGACTCCTCTGGGTGTTGGAACTCAACTGGTATGGGATCGTCTTATTCAGGGAGAGAGTGGAATTGTTTCACTGACTGGTGAAGAGTATAAGAGTATCCCTTGCAGTGTTGCTGCTTATGTGCCAAGAGGTTCTGATGAAGGTCAGTTCAACGAACAAAACTTTGTGTCCAAGTCAGATATCAAGTCCATGTCTTCTCCCACCATTATGGCCATTGGGGCTGCAGAGTTAGCCCTGAAAGATTCCAACTGGCATCCTCAATCAGAAACTGATCAAGTGGCTACTGGTGTTGCAATTGGCATGGGAATGGTTCCTCTTGAAGTTGTTAGTGAAACTGCTCTGATGTTTCAGACAAAAGGTTACAGTAAAGTCAGCCCTTTCTTTGTCCCTAAAATTCTGATCAATATGGCAGCAGGCCAGGTCAGCATTCGATATAAACTGAAGGGCCCCAATCATGCAGTATCCACAGCCTGTACCACAGGAGCTCATGCTGTGGGAGACTCTTTTAGACTTATAGCCCATGGGGATGCTGATGTGATGGTGGCTGGAGGCACAGATTCTTGTATTAGTCCTCTCTCTCTTGCTGGGTTTTGTAGAGCCCGGGCTCTCAGCACAAATTCTGATCCTAAGTTGGCATGCCGGCCGTTTCATCCAAAGAGAGATGGTTTTGTAATGGGAGAAGGTGCAGCTGTGCTGGTGCTGGAAGAACATGAACATGCTATTCAAAGAGGGGCCCGGATTTATGCTGAACTTTTGGGCTATGGACTTTCAGGTGATGCTGGTCACATAACCGCCCCCGATCCTGAAGGAGAAGGTGCCTTAAGGTAAAGACTGGTTGTTTCATTCAAAATACTTTTTTTTAAATAACTTTTTAAAAATTTATTTATTTATACAAGAGCTGGGGTACAGGTCAGAGGCACAGGAGGGTGAGAGAATTCACCAGAGACAGAGTGGGAGCAGAACAGGCAGATGGACCAAAGACACTGCTGAGGGGAGCAGTGGGCGAGGCAGGAGAGGTCTGCCCCACCATGTGGGTATCTCCCTGGCTGGCTGGGAATCGAACCCGTGCTGCAGAGGCTGCAGAGAGCTTCTCAGCATGGCGCTCAATCCACTGCACCACGGGGGAGGCACTCATTTAAAATATTTTTTCAAATAAGACACTTGGAGACTCAAACTAGGGGGCATTGTAGTATTTGGCCTTGGTGTACAGTAACTTCTTTTTTCCATTTTAGACTAATTAGTGTTTTTTTTTTTTTAATTCTTTTGCTTTAGTATGTTAGAAATATTTGAAAACATTTGAATATCCTTATAGAAATTGGAGTTTAGTGAAGGCCACTACAGTAGTGAGGAATGCTATGTATCGTCTTTTGCTAACTTTTCATACCTTCAGTTGGGCTTAACAGCTGTCAGTGTGCTCCCTCTCATAGTCCTCCTCTTTGGTCCATCATCAGACTTGGACAGTAAAGGTAACCTCTTCTCCAGGTATTTGGTCTCTGCTCCATTTTTTTTTTTAGAGATTTACTTATTTTTGCATATAAGAACTGGGGTACAGGCCAGAGGTGTGGGGGATGAGAGGATTCACCAGAGACAGAGTGGGGGACAGAACAGGCGGATTGACTGAAATGCACTGCTGAGGGGAGCAGCAGGCCAGTCAGGAGATATCTGCTGTGCCATGTGGGTAGCTTCCTACAGGGGTACTGCAGTGGCTGTGGATAGCTTCTCAGTGCTGCGTCTTAATGACTGGCACCACCAGGGAGGCCCCTCTCTGCTCCATTTCAACAGGATTGTGCTGTTATCAGGTTAGCGCTTCTTAACTTTTAATCACTCGGGATCTTATGAAAATGCAATTCTGACTCTATAGGACAAGGGTGACACTTGAGATTCTCCATTTCTAGCAATCTCCTGGGGGATGCTGAAGCTGGTCTGAGGACCAGACTGAAAAAGCAAATTGCTGTTATTGTAGAAGAGATAGTAAAGTTTAAAAAACTACAAATTTACTGATAATGTGATGATATGTTAGCCTAGTAGATTAGCCTGCTTAGGTCATATTAAATTTTAACTAGTTAAATTAGCCACAGGTTGACATACCTTTTCTGTAAAGGGAAAAATAGTAAATTTTTTTGGCTTTGTAGTTCATAGACCATTTGACACAACTGGTCAACTATACCATCTAGTGTGAAGCAACCACAGATAATAAAAAAATGAATGGGTGAGTTCTGATGAAACTAAAACAAGCATCTGCCTAGTGCCATGGCTTACTGACCTCTTGAGTTTTAGTGAGTAGCTGGTGCTAGAATTTTTTTTTTAAATTTATTTATTCATGTATACAAGAACCAGGGTACAGGCCATATGTGCGGGAGGGTGAGAGGATTCACCAGCAGATCGACTGAAATACACTGCTGAGGGGAGCAGCAGACGAGACAGGAGAGGTCTGCCGCGCCATGTGGGTATCTCCCTGCTGGCAGGGATCGAACCCACACTGCATAGGACGCGGACAGCTTCACAGTGCTGCACTCAAACGCCTGCACCATCAGGGAGGCCCTGGTGCTAGAAATTTTAAGCATAATGGCCAGTTAGATGAAGAAATAGTTATGTTTAGGTCAAACATGTTATACTTCAAACTAGACTCTGAGCTGCCTCTCATGGAAATGTGTGTAGCCCAGAGATCAGGAAAAGGTGTTGCCGTCCTTCCAATATTCAAAGGTTCTTCCAGAGAAATATTTTACTTTTGGAATGTTTATAGAGAAATATTTTACATTTGGAATGTTTATAGTCTAAGCAAACTGCTGTTTGAAAGATTATATGAAGCACTGAAATGCAATCCTATCCCATATAATGATGTTTCAGTCAATCATGGACCAAATATATATGACTATGGTGCCCAAATTCCAGTTGCCTGATGACATGTGGCTATTGTAAAGACATTAGTGTTGTACACTGACAGCAGCCTCATTCACTCACCTCGGTGTTTACCTTGTCTCTTGACAGCATCATTTTCTCATGTCCTTGATTTAATCTCATGTTGTTTTGTTCATTGTGCTTCCTAAGCTTATAAATTCTTCTGCTAATGATGCCTTTTTTACAACATCTCCTCTTTGTTAAGCAACACATGACTGTAATGGTGCAGACATTTTTAGATTACTGGGGAATATGCCAACTTTTACATTTAGATGTAAAAGAAAAAACACAGTCATAATATTTTTCTCCTATCTTAAATATGCACCTATACACACTCATGCATACTTCTTTGGCCCATTATCAGACTTGGACAGTAAAGTTAACTTTAGTAGGACAGATTAAAAATTCCTTCAAGAAAAATTATTCTAGGCTTGAATCAATTTTTTTTTTTTTTTACCCAAGCAAAAAGTTCAACTGAAATAAATGTAAGTATGTATTTTTAGAGATTATAAATCCAAGACTTGTGTCTTTATCTCGTGGTGATGAATCAGTCCAAGGTACTAGGGGGGACATGTTATCCCATGCAGATGGTGTCAGAATCTACCTGTCAGTCCAAGAGTCAGTTCTGTTACTAGAGCAAAGGATTCTTTTAAACCACTGTATCTGGTTAATTCTTTTACATAGGTGGCACAGATAATGAATCACCTGTTGAAATTAAACTTAGTTCTGATAAACTTCTTTTCTTATTTTATTAGATGTATGACTGCTGCTGTAAAAGATGCAAATGTGCAACCTGAAGAGATAACCTATGTCAATGCACATGCTACTTCCACACCTTTGGGAGATGCTGCTGAGAACAAAGCTGTCAAACATCTTTTCAAAGACCACGCCCATGCCCTTGCAGTTTCCTCGACTAAGGGAGCCACAGGGCATCTGCTGGGAGCTGCAGGGGCGACTGAAGCAGCTTTTACAGCACTCGCTTGTTATTATCGAAAACTACCACCTACTTTAAACCTGGATTGTACAGAGCCAGAATTTGATCTCAATTATGTCCCCCTAAAGGCACAGGAATGGAAAACTGAGAAAAGATGTATTGGACTTACCAATTCCTTTGGTTTTGGTGGTACTAATGCAACACTTTGTATTGCTGGCATGTAGCACAAATCATTTGTAATTAATCATTGATTATTTTTAATGTTATGAGCAAACTATATTAAGTGGAGAAATACTGTGTTCATGTGAATATATATACTTATAATCAATACCCAGATACCTTTTATCTTTGTCAGGGTTTCTCAACCTTGGCACCATTGACATTTTGGGCAGGATAATTCTTAGTTGGGGAAAGAGAGACTCTCTTATACACTGTAGGATGCTTAATGGCATCCTGATCTCGACTCACAAGATTCCAAAGCACCTCCTACTGTTACAGGACAGGGAGAGGGACAGCCCACACCCCGCAAACCTGTCTGCTCTAAATAGGTTCTGCCATCTGCTGCATCAACACAAAACATATGAGACTTTAATGAAAAGGAACTTTAATACAATTAGCAAACAATACAGGAAAGACAAAGAATACAGTTTCTAAATCAAGCACCCAAAGTTACCTGCCCCCTCATGGGTAAAATTCCACCCAGGCAGGATTGGCCCAGAGCAAGACCCCAAAGTCTGCCACAAGTCTAAAGCACCTTTCAGTGGGAACCCACAGAAAAGGATCAGAAACAACAGACAAGTCTGGAGGGAAAAGAGCAAAATCAAGATAAAAACCGTCACTGTCACCTCCCCACAGGTCTCTCACCCACATCTGTGTCAACCAGTCCACGACCAAAAGGCAAGTGTAGTTTCTTCACATATCTCTTGGCTCCATGTGCCTCCTCCAGGTCTCCTTCTAGCTCTCCATCCTGCTTCCTTCCTTCCTCAGTCTCCTCCGCAGCTTCTTCTCTCCCTGCTCAGCTCCACCCTCCCTTGGGTGGGGCAGGAAACCTGGAAACTTCTCCTTTCCTGGGGACCACCCTGTTACAATCCCCCCTTTTAATTTTTATTCCACCATATCTATGGTGGCACAGATCTCTGGGTGTAGTCTTAGGAGACAGTCTTTTTTCAGGGTTAACAATGTGTGTAAGAGAAGCAACAATTAGGCAGCAGCATTGTCCATGAATGTCCAGTATGACAGTTCTCCATTACTGGAAAATAGTCCATTATCCAAGCCAAAAGAAAAAAAAAAAATCTGGAGGCATTAGCTAAAATAAGATAGCAAATATATCAAAATCACAGTGGAAAAAAAAATCTTAAAATTGGTTAGACTTATGTAAAAAAAAACAAAAACAAATTCTCAACCTTGATCCCAAATTGTTTCAACAGCATAGCAAAAGTTCACAAACTAAATTTACTTTTAAACCATATTACCCATTTTTGCATAAAATCACAGGGCAGAATAAACAGCAATTTTAGCTGGCTTTGTTGGAATACTCCATATAGGATCAGAGCAAATTCTTGGCATCCGGTCCACGTAGGCTTCAAGAACAAAGTTGGTCTCACCAGACTCCACCTGGGCTTCCTCTTCTCGAGGGTACCAGGGCTTTTTCGTTCCTGGGTTGTCCAGTCCTGCCAATGGAGGCAAGCTTCCTCACCTTCTTTGGAGGTCTCTGGAACCCTACAAACAAAGCAGCAGGTTCTCTTCTTCTTGGTTCAGCGCTGTTTCAACTTCCTGGAAGAACTCCACTCAAAGCCACACAATGAAACTCATCTCCAATTGTTTTTGTTTGTTTGTTTGTTTGTTTTTAAAGATTTATTCATTTACCTATACAAGCACTGGGTACAGTCAGACTGACCAAACACTGCTGAGGGGAGCAGTGGGCGGCAGGAGAGGTCTGTGTTCCATGTGGGACCCTCACCCGGCGGCCGGGGATCGAACCAGCACCGCAGAGTCTGTGGGCGGCTTTACCACCCAGCACTCAACCACTGTGCCACTGGGAAGGCCCCACCAATTGTCTTTGTTTTAAGCAGACAAAATCCCTATGGAAGTTATGCAAAAACAGACTCTTAAGATTAGTAAAACAAAATTACTACCACTATTTTTATGCTGTGTTGGTATCAAGGGGAGAGAAAATGTGAACACAAGTTAGCTCTGCTGGGAAAAAAAAAAGAAGAAAAAAAAAATTCAACATTGCTGCCAGTCCTGGTCAGTCAAAAGAAGAAAACTTTTTTGAATCAGAACAAAATGTAACAAAATTTCCTGTATTATGTCAAAACTTAGTAAAAGTCAGGCGTGTCTCCAATCGTCTATTTGTTATAGGACAGGGAGAGGGGCAGCCCAAACCCCGCAAACCTGCCTATTTTAAATGGGTTCTGCCATCCGCCGCATCAACACAAAACATGAGACTTTAATGGGAAGGAACTTTAATAAAACTCGGAAACAATACAGGAAAGGCAAAGAGTCTAGTTTCTAAATGAAGCACCCAAAGTTACCCATCCCCTCGTGGGTAAAAGTCCATCCATATGGGTTCGGCCCAGAACAAGGCCCCAAAGCCTGCCACAAGTCTAAGGCATCTTCCAGTGGGGACCCACAGAAAGGGGTCAGAAACAACCAGACAAGCCCAGAAGGAAAAGAGCAAAATCAACATCAAGATAAAAGCTGCCATTGTCACCTCCCCATGGGTCTCACCCACATCTGTGTCACCCAGTCCACGACCAAAAGACAAGCGCAGTTTCTTTACGTGTCTCTAGGCTCCATGCGCCTCCTCCAGGTCTCCTGGCTCCATCCTGCTTCCTTCCTCAGTCTCTTCTGCTTCTTCTCTCCCTGCTCAGCTCCACCCTCTCTTGGGTGGGGCAGGGAACCTCCCCCTTTCCTGGGGACCACCCTGTTACATTTCCACACTCTAATGTTTCCCAAACTCCCTTCATTGCATTTATTTATGTATTTAATTAAACTTTTTAAAAATGAGGTAAATTTGGTTTACAGCTCTATATATGATTTAGAAGTATAGGGTCAGACGCCTCGGGTGTATGTTACCCACATAGACACAGTACACACTGTCCTCCACCATAGTCCATTGGACCTACTCCCCACTTTGTTCTCCACACACTCACCCCCATCTGGTAATCTCAATTTTATAGTCAGATTTCTAGGGATTGGTTTTGGTTTGGTTTGTCTGTTCCCTTTTTTTTGTTTCTTTATATTCCACACATGAGTGAAACCATCTGGTATTTGTCTTTCTCCTTCTGACTTTTTTCGCTTAGCATAATCTCTCCCTGGTCTATCCATACTCTTACAAATAGCAAGATTTCATTTTTTTTGTAATATAGCTGATTCATAGTCCACTGTTTACCACTTTTTTTTGACCTACTCATCATCTGTCCTTGGATAGTTAAGTTGTTTACATAATATTGTAAATAATGATGCAACACCATTCAATCTTATTATTTTTTATGATAGAAATCTGATCAAAAAAAAAAAAAGAAATCTGATCATGTTATTTCTCTGCTAAAAAGCTTCCAATGGTGTCCTGTTTGACATAGAATGTAATCCAGATGCCTTAATAAGGTGATCCAGTCCTGATTTTCCTTCTCTGATCTCAACTCATAACATTTATATTTAAGTCATACTGGTGTTCCTTCTCCTCTTGAAACACACTAAAGTTAATTATGCCTTTATCCTTGCTCTTCTGTAGACCTGGAGCACTATTTTTTATTTATATGCAAATTGGCTTTATCTAGTTTTTCATATTTCAGCACAAATACCTCTTCTTGAGAGAGGTCAACTCTAGCCTTCCTTAGTCCCCCAATCTAAAGTTGTTTCCTCTCTTCATTTCTGATCCATCTTCCTCCTAGAATCCTGATTTGTGTCTTCATATCTCATTATTATCAGAAATTATCTCTTTTTAAAATCATTTTTTTCTGGACAAAATAAAATCCTTCTTTTTTGTTTGGATATAAACTTCATGGGAGGGGAAGATTTATTGATCTTAAAAACAAAAATAGCATTTATAGATCTCAGCAAAGTGTGTGGTCCATACACACGTATACACAGGCAGAAAACCTTTAATCCCAATAATGACTGAAATAGCTCTGTCTCAGGAAGAGTAGCTCATCCATAGTCTTAGAAAACTTTAGTAAGTCTTGATCCTGGGAATAAGTACAAAGGGTAGACTTCATGGCTATAATCAGTGGAGGCTTTATGCTTTTTCTCTGCCTAGTTTCTTTAGACCAGCTTTGATCTTTGGGCCAGGGAGGAAGAGTCATGGTTATTTCAGTAGTTTCTTTAGAATTGCTTAGCACAAACAATGTAGATTGAATTATAAGAGACCAAACACATTATTTTGAACAGAAATGCCTTTAACTCAGGATTCAAACATTTTTTTTTTTTTTTTACTGTAAAGGGTCAAACAGTAAATAAGTTTGGCTTTGAGGGTCATAAAGTGTAAGTTGCAGCTTCTTAACTCTGCCCTCTAGTGCAAAGGCAACCATAGATAATACATAAATGAATTGACTTCCAGGATTTGGGCAGGGGAAAGAGTTGGGGGACAGATTTGGCTACTGGCTACTGGGTGGTAGCTTGACAACTCCTCTGCTCTAACTCTTCAAAGAAACATGTTCTCTAATGTTACACCAACTAATTTTTCTCCATCACTGGAGTATCCAGGAATTTTGCAATAGAAGATTAGAAAGCTGATTGATTTCAGTACTGGAACAGCAATGATAATAATAACAATAACTAATGATTCTGTAGTATTTATATACTAGGTATTGTTTCAAGTGCTTTTCTTGATGTCATCTTATTTAATATTCACAACACATACGTAATTTAGTTAATAGCATGGTTCCCATTTTATGGATAAGCAATCTGTAATTTAGCAATGTTAGAATGTTAGAGAACTGGTTCAAAGTCATGCAGTCAAAATTTGGTAGAGTTAAGATTTAAGTAGTCCAACTCCAAAGCACAGGCTTGTAGCCTCATGAATATATCAACTGCCTAAAAGCAAGTCTTGGAACTCATACCAAGGGACATCCTATTGGGTAGGGCAGAGCTAACTCTTTTGGACCCTGTTCTGAGCTGGGAGAAGGCAAGATACAGAGTTATCGAATGTCTGCTTTTGTTTGTTTGGAAAAGAGCAAAGATGCCATTTTTTTAAAAAAGATTTATTTATGCATCCAAGAACTGGGGTACAGGCCGGAGGTGTGGGAGGTGAGAGGATTCA